TTTCTGCCTAGACCAAAGCGGTAAACCCAACCGACCAACAGACAACAAAAAGCAATATTTCACAAAATCTGCTCTACTACAGCATCAGGCATAAATATAATCTGTGATTTCCGCCCTCAGCTATCAAACATAATGCACTAGTTGTATATGTTGGGACAGCAGGAGAGGGGTTGGTGGATAATAAAAGGAAAATCTATTGTTAAAGGCAACCAAAGTCACAAACCCAATATCCAATCCCTTTGGGTTTGTCCAATCCCAAAAAAGCATGAGAAATAATAAACTCATAATCTGGGATTAGCGATTAATCCTGTAGATAACAGTGGTTGGACACAGAACGGGGTCACACAGGAAGCGGTGGCGTTAAAAACACACTCCGCAGCCTGTTGAAATCACATGTTAGTCCAACCTACACACAATGTTCTCCATTTCAGCGGGCTGTTGAGGTTGGCAGGAAACTTTGGGGCAGCTAAATCAATGCAGCCAACACTGGTGTCCTAAATTCTTCTCACAGTGCTCTTTTATTACATGCAAAAGACTGATAGTGGAGCTTGTGTAGCAGCACGTTGGTATTTCTGCACAGTCATGTTGCACTGCATCCAGCCAGGCTGCAGTCGTCATCCCACAATACAATCCTCTCCTGCCTGAGCATAAGCAGCCACATGGGGAAATGATAGGTCTCTAGTCAGCTAACTTTGCTGCATGGCAACTCCAAAGCCTTTCGTTCCTGAACAACCTTTTGTTTCGACATGACCTGGGTGTCAACAGATGAAGCTGTTTGAAGTAATTGTATCTCAGAACAGCAGACGAAGAGTGCTGTTCCACCTTTAATGTGACAGATAAAAGGCAGTTTGATTGACTGGGAAATGTAGAATTCATCAATACTTCACGGCGGTCTGATTCCAATTAAACACAATGAACAGATTTAAGTTTGCATGAACGAGTTTGAGGATTACTGAACGCTGTTGCAGAAGCATTTCCAAGCTGAATATTTGCATATGGGACTACATATATTAAATGTCAGAACATCTTTCAATAACCCATCTTGGCTGCAGTCCCTGCCCCTGAGCAAGCAGTTATATGTGAGAATAAGTATGAGCTATTCATTTATAAAACGCCCTTGTGAGTGTTAATAGTTCCTTTAAGGTGTGGAGCGGGTCATTTAAGTGATTAGCAGTCCTCTCGGCTCAGGGCTTAAACGGCATTCCAGCTATGGGGATCAAAGCAGCATTGTTGACCATTTCAGAAACGGAAAAAACAGATCTGCCCATTGAGAAGCTGCTGCTGCTTTCTACACAGGCTGCCACTATGTTGGGAAGGAGGCAGCTGGGAGTTCAGGGAGTGTGTAGCAGAATCTATATGGCATCATTTGTACAGCTACAATCCCTCCCTGTTCTGTATTTCTGGCCCTATAACATGATTTTGGGACACAGCCTTAAATAAGAGCATACAAAGTTAAAACAGCAACATGATGATGATTATACAAATGCTAACGCAGTTACTCTACATCAGTTTAAACAGAATCAGTATGGTGGATATTCATTAAAATGACAGTGATATAAAGGTGTATTCCTTAAGTAATACTCCTTGTTGTGATATGCATATTATTCAATAATTACCCAGAGGTTAGTATGACAGTGTAATGCATCATATGTAACAGTGCATTCACATTAAATCTGACATTTCTGCATTTCTCTCAAGGTTGCATTCTCGACTCGTACAGGTCAAAACTCTACGCATGCATGGAGTTTAAAACGTATAGTAATGGATGTTGTGTGTTGCAGATGAGCAGAGGAGAGAGGGGAACCTACCTTTCCCGTGGACCACTGGGTGTAGGAGTCAATATCCACAGCCGCAGTGCTCTCACTGTGGCACAGACACATGTGTTGGATACAGTCTGCTGGTAGAAGCCCTCCGCTGTCACCGCAGACCCACCGTCACCGCTGTCTCACACACGCAGCGGGCTTACAGAACAACCAAAAACATGTTTAAAGGTCCTGCTGGCTTCTGTCCGGCCTGTGTGTAGGTGTGTCTATGTGTGTGTGAGAGTGTGTGCTTTGTTGCTGCGTTTTGTTTCCATCCAGGAAGCTGTGTCTGCTCTCCGCTCAGCTCCACTCTTGACTGCTCCTGCTGGTTATTTTACTGTATTCATGCTGCTTTCAGGTGCTGTCGGAAAACATTGAATTCATGAGCTAATCATGAACGAACGAGGTGTTCTATAGAAAAAATTGAGGAGTTCTGATCGTTCACTTAGATAAAATTACTATTTTAAGAAAAAAAATGTGATCAATAAAGTATATTTAATCTAATCTAATCAACCCTTTCAAAACACTATTTCACAAATAAATGTCCTACTTTTTACTCTAAATGTTCAAAGTACATTTCCTGTCTAGGAGAAGACTTACAAGTGAAAGTAAAAGTACACATAAAAATGTCCCCTGTAGGCCTATGCTGTATACTATTAAAGAATATGCTATCATTGTTAACACTCATGGATTAATTTCAAAGCAGCATATTACTACTGTAGTTGCTTGAGGTTGACTTCCTTTTGAGACTGCAACTACTTTCATTAAAATTATATAAATATAAAGCAGCAAATCCTTACATTTGGGAATCTGGCACTACTCCTTTATGCCCCAAACTTGTAGTCTACTATTCTTCCAGGTCTGCCAATTTTTGTTTACATCCGAACACAATGTGCATCATTTAAACGTTCCTACATGTTGAGTATACAGTATACTATACAGCTCTTGGAGATACTAGTAAAAGAAAGACAAATGTGTCAAAACGTATACTAGCTACGTCAGAATTTAGGCGCCGTTTACACGAGGAGAAAACTGCTTGTATCTGCATAGTTTCGCGTGCGTATAGCCCTATTATTTACACGAGGCCGATAGAAACTGACCCCACAAACAATAACGGGTCCCAAGGTGGATAGATTTGCAAACGAAACGCTCTGGGGGGTCAACCGAGTCCGTGTAATCACCTTGATACGAATATTTCCTGAAAAAATAACGATAGCACCGCCTCTCCCCACCTCTCCTGCTCACTGCTGAAGCAACTATCAAAAATAGCTGTGTTAATTAAACGCACAAGGGGTTCTTGAATGAAATAATATTATAAAAGGCAAACCAGAATTGTTAACGCCCAATATACTCCTTAAACAAAATAAACAGAGTCAGATTTCATGCATTGATCCATTATATTGACAAAGGAGGATCTCACCCGGTGTTTGTAGAGAATATCTCTCTCTTTCTGAGCCGTTCTCTCCACGGAGACGTGCTTCAGTTTCTTTCAGTTTCAGTTTCAGTTTCGGGGCTTAAACAGAAGGGTAGCCATGGCAACATTGCAGCGGGGCTGCTTGGGTTGCTCTTCTTCGCGGCTTTTGGTGTATTTTGGCGGAAGTTACAGCGCCACTTACAGTCCCAGCATATGTACTACAGCGTTTCCAGCGGCCTCGTTTGAACAGACACGTTAAATGAAACAAATGCATGTGAACGGAAGACTTTTTTGAATACGCATACTGTGCATAAACGCAAACGGTCCCGTGTGAGCGGGGCCTAAGACTGCGGTCAACTCAGCCGTCTCTCGCATTTGCTTGGTCAAATGAGCAGCTCTTCATTTTTTTAGTGCGCGATTAATAGCGTCTTTATCGCCGAGAAGCGGTACAAGAATAAAAGAATGCATGTTGTTGTGCTATATTTTTCGATAGAAATATGTTTTACCATAAATTCTTAATAATATTGGTACTGTTGGACTCAGTACTTGTTAGACTACTACCACAAATACAATTAAGTACTTTTACTGTGTACTTTTTGAGTAATATTCGTTTAAAATCCTGTCCTGAGTACACTAATTAATGTATTCTGCTATCTTTGATGAGAGATAACGTGATTTTTTGCAATAAGTTCTACATGAAATTGATACTGTTGAACTCAGTACTACTTGGACTACTATCACAAGTACAATCAAGTGTTTTTACTGTGTACTTTTTGAGTAATCCCCTGTCAAACTCATTGCTCCTGTGGGGATTGTCCACAGTATTGAGTATGTAAATCGCTTTGGATAACAGCGTCTAACAAGTAACATGTAAAGCAGCGGTTTTCAAAGTGTGAGGCGCGCCTCCCCTGGGGGGCGCCAGAGAGCTTCAGGGGAGGCGCAGCGTGAGAAAAAAAAAAAGAGAAACAATGAAATCTAGCTCGTTAACTTCAGCTAACTTTATGCGAGCGGCAACATGGATCGATTTTTAGTGAAGTTACCTAAAGTGAGAGAGGAGACAGCGTCTGGCCACCCCAGTTGGCAGCTTTGTTTTGAAATAAAAGTTGTGGCTCATCGGACATTTATCAGAGAAAATCCCTGATGTCCGAGTGCAAGTGAATGCAGCACAAGACGCGAGCCTTGTAACCCTGGCGCGAGCGAGGAAATGTGATTGGCGGCGATTTCATTTGAACGGGCGGCAGAAAACGAGAAGCATTCGGACCCAAGTACACGGAAGGAATAAGGTATTTGCGGTCTACAATGACAGAGAAGAGACTGTCAAGTTTGGCTGTGCTCAGCATTGAATCAAAACGCACTAAAGCTTTGGATGTTAATACGTTTGTGAGGCGTTTTGCTGAACAAGATGGTAATCGCCGCATTCAGCTGTAATAGGCATGCCAACTTGATGCTCTGCTCACGGATGACTCGAGCATTAAAAACTGTTAAGATGATGACCTTACGTGTGTACATATATTTTTTTCTTTGTGGGGTCTGCCCTGAGAAAGTCAAATAAGATGGTGTGTAAAACTACACTGCCCAGACAAAAATAAGTAACCACTTTGATTTAACTAGGCCAGTAGGTAAGGGCATTCCACTGGATAATAATACCCCTGCATTATAGCAACAACAATAATAATAATAATAATAATAATAGCAATAATAATTGGGAGGGGGGGGCGCGGCTGTTCTTATATTCTCTGAGGGGAGGCTCACCTTCCCACACTTTGAAAACCCCTGATGTAAAGTAATGTAATGTACTACCGTCAGTGCCGCTTCTCGGCGATTACCGTAAAAACGCTATTAATCGCGCACTCAAAAATGAAGAGCTGCTCATGTGACCAAGCAAATGCGAGAGACGGCTGAGTTGACCGCAGTATAATACTGTATGTCGGAGGCTGGGGAAAGAGCAATAACAGTTTATGGCGAGTGCTGAAGACGGAAAGTCCAAGTAAAATGCGCATGCGCCGGGGCTTTTCCGTGTCCCTGTCTTTTTCAGAAAGTCTTTATAGCATTCACAATAACACATCTAACCATTACATCTATCACACGGACCCTGGAGGACCCTGAGTCTGGACCTGGAGCTCTTAGTTTTTTTACGAAGGTGGAAGAAAGAGCGCATTTCAATCAGGTGAGACTCTTAAAAATATATTCCGAACTGGTACCTGCCCTTTGGGGTTGATAGTTGTAGTATACCGGTATTTGTTGTGGGAGAGAAGTTTTTACTCATTTTGTACTATTTGTTTGTATCTTAAATGTAAAAGTGTAGGCTATGTGTAGGTCTGTGATACTTCCTGTAACCCACCGCGGCTCTCGGCAGGTCGGAGCTTTTCGATCGTTCGCTTGAATCGCTTCACTTTATTTTAAGTGAATCAAGTGAACTGAAAACTTCAGGTAAGGTATTATAACAGCTGCCGCAATATTGAGACAAATATAGACAAACAAGTGATGTTATTTCGTTACACCTGTAGTGCGCGAGCGAGATACTGTGAGCGTGCGACAAGTAGGCTACAGAAGTTGAGACACGATATAAAATATTTTTGATGTTAACTTCAGTTCTATCGCCTTTTGAACTGTTAGTTTAAGTGGCTGCTTTGACACACCGTTTGTTGCATGTTTTCTGTTCTTAAAAAAGTGTAAAATGTTGATATAATAAGATATAGCCTAAGTGGCTCTGGACATTGACATTACGTCATTTTACATCACCGTACCCTAAATACAATATCTTTAGCATTGCAGGAGATCCGGGGTTTATCCCATAATTCTGAACTCGCCGGAGCCTCGCAGCGGGGCTGCGGACGGAGCGCATAAAGCAGACTCTTCATGCTAACCAGAGCCGATGCTAACGAAGGATCACTTCTTCTCCAGGGCAGGGAAGGCTACGCAGTACGCAGGCTACTGTCACGCAGCTACTGCCTCTCTGTTGGACTCCGGTACTGCATATTACTCACGAGACGTTTTAAAAAAAAAAAAAAAATAATGCTTTAAGTGAAACATTCGGGGCTTTTCAGAAAACATCCGGGGCTTGAGCCGCCACTGGCTCATATCACCTTCATACTACCATTTCCGTATATTGTAAGTTGCAGTGACAGGAAAAACTCCCCAGCCTCTGAAACTACATGTGACCTAGATAAACAGAGCTGGGCAGCAGGTTGTCTGAGCCTGTTGTTTTCTGCAAAATGCCCTTTCAATCACATCATCCAGATGTACTGTATTTATCTGAAATGACATGTTGTTGTTTTGTGTGATTTCGAAGCTAAGGGGATTTCTGTCTGCTTTTCTCTTTTAGGGGGGCACTTGTAAAGCCTCAAACATGCAGAAAGTCTTCCAGTCGGTGCAGAGGGTAGCACAGAAGAGCTGCGGAAGAGCCTGCGAGATGTTCTGCTGCACATCTGACACCCCGATGTGTGAGAAAGTCCCATGCTGCACAGGTAAAAAAAAAAGTTCTTAAAATGCATACTGTCCACATTATTTATTTTGCTTCTGTTATGTCATGGCCCAGACTTAAGATGTGACTGTTACAGTCTGTATGTGTCCTGTCTTTAAAGGTGCATATCATCAACCTACAGAGGATAAAACTACACAGGGTGAATACTTTTAATGTTTGTTTCCTTGTTTTCCAATGAAACAGTCAGGGTCTTTATTTATTACTCAATTCTCTCTGTTTAACATCTTAGAATTTCTTTCCTATTTTTAAAGAGGCCATATTATGATTTTTGGGGTTTTCCCTTGTAGTGTGTTGTATGGGTTTAAGTGCATGTAAATGGTCTGCAAAGGCTAAAATCCCACACCAGAGGAAGGCTAAAATCCCACACCAGAGGAAGTTTCTCTCCCACACACTTCGCCCCCTGCCTGAAATAGCTGGTTTTAAGTCCTTTGTTTACTTCCGTGACATAGTGACATCACTACATAAGGCAGCTTCTATCGGCTAGCACTCCAACAAATAGTATGCCATTGGCTTAGTGGCCTGTCGGTTGACCAATCACAACAGCTAAACAATCAGAACCGACTGGGCTTTTGTTTCAGAGAGCTGGTGAAAAAATAGCTTTTTCAACATTAAAGCATGGAGACATGTCACAATAGAGGCTCAAAATACAAATATGAAACCTGAAAAACAGGGCCCCTTTAATTTCCATTATGGCCTTTTAGCACAGCTTTAGAATCATGCCACATTGATCAGTCTTCTCCTTTTTTTTTTTTTTAAGTATTTGTATTTTAATGTCTGAACACACTTCTGTTTCTGCGACTAAATAATTTCCTGAAGTGGGATCAATAAAGTATCTATCGATATATCTATCTATCTATTAACTGTCAGCAAAATAAATGTTTCCTATATATACAGGAACTATAAGTGTGATAGTGACGCATTTGTGCAGTTTCATCACTCTGGAAAAACAACTTCCCGTTCTCATACTCTCTTCCTTTTTCCCCTTTCTCTCCCTTGCCCACTCATATACAGAGTCACGCCTGAATCCGCCGTCTACTATTTTGATTGTGAACATCAGCAACTCCACCTTGATGGACTGCGTGATCGGGAACGGCACCTACCAATCCATGGTGGCTGATAGTCAGCCTCTGATGCGGCACGCTGGGCTCCAAATGCACGGTGTGTAACAGAAAAACCTTTCAAATAAATGTGTAGAAATGTAAAGCACTGAGCTGAAATGCATACTATGCTATGTGTTATTATGTCTTTGTTAAACAAGAACCATGCATACAAATACATTAGTATCAAAAAGAGAAGAAAGGATTTATGTTAGAATGAGCTATTTAAAATGTTCATCTGCAGTCCCTGGTAACAGCACATTTATCAGTACAAGTTAAATATTTGATTTCATTTCCAAGTTAATGTTGACAAAATTGGTTGCTCAATATCAATTTTGCACCCTAGAAAAAAGCATGTGCATGTTTTAATCTCAGCTGGAATCATATTGCTATTGTTCAAGGCCTTAAATTAAAAAGTATATTTTGTAGTATTGAAGCACTCAAACAGTACTTACGGCCCGTCCACACGGCGGCGTGCGTTGACTCTTCACGCTTCTGTCCATTCACTTTGAATGGGGTGACGTCACGCTTCGCCGAACTGCATTGTGGGAGCGAAGCGTAGCTTCAGAAGCGTTGCTCGCGACGAAAGTTGAGCAATGTTCAACTTTTGAAGCTTCGGCGGAAGCGTCAGCCAATCGAATCATATGCCAGTACAAGCTCTAGCCAATCAAACCGCATGCTTGTGTGTCCGGGGCGGGAGATTCATGTGATTGGTTGTTGGTCGAGTTTCAGCCCCCCCCGCCGGCAAGCTTCAACGCATGCCGCTGTGTGGACGGGCCGTTAATATCTGATTTGTTCTTGTGTTACAGATCAGAGGTGCAGCTGCAGCCGTGGACAACAGGGGGCAGAGCAGACCTCTCCCCCTCTCTGTCCTCCCCTTCCAACCGCTGAGCCTCTGAACGTCAACATCCAAAGGTCCAATCTCAACTGCGTCATCATCGGAGACAACAACTACATGCAGGCCGAGCCCTCCACTGAAACAGAAGAGCCACAAGAGTGAAGCTTTGGCCCCACACACACACTACACACTCCAGCAAACCCGTCATCTTCAGTATAGGATTAGAACTTCAACTCAGTATGAGATCAAACCTAGAGCCGTTAAGTTATAACTACTGCTTTTACCCATATTCAAACTGGTTGTTATTAAATACAAATTAAAACATTTAACCTTAAAGAACATAGACCCCAGGAATATTTAGCATTTCTGTTAAAAAAATAACTTAAAGAAATGTTAGTAGGCAAATATCTGTTCATAAAGTTATGAGCAGCTCAACATTTAGTGACTTTTTTATGATTGATCTCTTTATGACCATCGGATGTTTGTGTGTCTGATGTCCAGCGGTCTAATATGCTGACTAAGGAAAGACAACTGGCTGTAGTATACAGTATTGTGTGATTTCACTGTAATCCCTATCATGTCATGATAAAGACATTGACTGATGTTGATATGTATGGCCCATGGTCATTATCAGTAGACTACTTCGTCGTTTTTGTTTCCAGAAGTAATTTTGATTTCTTGCATTACATCAAATGTGGAAATAGAAGACTTTGAATCAAGGTGCTCCTATTTGTCTTTTGATATGTTAATAATGTGCAGATATACTCCATGTTAGCTTCACACAGTGTTTTACTTTTATTTGTATTCTGAAATAATGTATACGATAAGTTGCTATTTTATTTGTTGTTGAATATTGTTACATAATGAATGTTTGAAATTATGAAAAAAATGTTGTACTATTTAAAAAAAAAAGAAGAAGTTGCTATTTTATTTCTTGTTGAATATTGTTACATATTGAATGTTTGAAATTATGAAAAAAATGTTGTACTATTTAAAAAGAAAAAGTTCCAAAAAGATACAGAGATGATTTTTTTTATTGTTTTGGAATTCAATAAATGATATTCCAATGTCTCAAACTGGGGTCGGAGAACACTCAGTTCTTCTTCTTCTTCTTCCCTTCTTTCTTTTTCTTCTTGCCTTTCTTGTCTTCCTCCTTTTTGAAGCTACCGAGGCACCGGCGGACCATGCAGCCTCTCCACCATGCCTGCACCTGCAGGGTCAAAGGTCACAGCCCAGGGTCAGGGGCCAAATAAGAAACTTCCTTAGCTCCAACACATTGTATGTAATATGCTGAGGGGCAGGATATATCTAAGTTGTTGACCAATCACAACTGAGCAGAAAAATAAAGACCTTTTTAAACATTAAAGCATGTAGAGGTCAAACAACAGCAGTCACATAATCAAAGATGAAACTTAAAACAGCGCTCATTCAGGTGGTAAAAAGAAGAAAGAAAGATTGTGGACAAGTTCTTTATATCCAGCAATCAAAAATAAAATGTGTTTACTGATACGTGAAACGAAAAGGAAGCAGCTATTACGTCCAAAGATTAAAGAAAGTAGAGTAAAATTGAAAGTTAGGACAGGTTAACCCAAAGATAAGGGAGTTTATTTATGATTTTGAAAATGTATTATTGTGTAATACACTTTTCCTATCTTTAGTCAGGACTAAAACATTGATTTACCTATTGTTTATCCGTAATGACACAGAGTGAAGTATCCACTAGGGTACAAGGTATAGCATGGATCATAGTTCAGATGGATGTTGTTACCTTGGTAACAGCTCTGGCCTTAGCCTGCTCTTGACGCAGCTTCTCCTGCTCCTCCCTGTCCTCCATCACCACCTGCTCCATCTCCCTGTACTGAACACATTCAGCATCTCATTAACGTTGGACTCACAGTGACTCCTGTTTAGAATCAGCAGCTGTTTGCTGTGTCATGTTCAGGGCTGCTCACCATCCTCTTCATCTCCATCAATCTGTCCAAGTTCACAGTTCTTTTGCAGCTCTCAGTGTTGAGCCGCTGCTCCTTCTCCTGGAGCCTCTGCTTCGTACACTGCTGCCACTGCTCCTGCTGCTGCTGCACCTCCTGCAGGAACAGCAGTTTGAATGATAGGAGCACAAACAAGAAGATGATGTAATGGTGTGATGACTAACAAGTTAAAAAGCAACCTAAAGGGGCAGTTCACACCAAACAATCCTTCCTCCTACCTAAAGTGATTTGTATCAGTGTATCTCTTTGGTTGAGAGTTGTGTTGGTGAAAAATAACAAAAAAAGTAGAATTCTGGGACAGTAAACAGACAGGTCTTCTTCTCCAACGCTTGTTACCGGTTCAAAGAACGAATTTCATTCTACGAACAGAGTTTGATGCAAGGACGAGCATTATTCTCTAAATGACAAAAATGAAAGCCTGTGTTGATCTCCGGAGATGACCAACATCAGGCTTACAATGGCTTTTTATAGTAAATGTGGTACACCCTCCCCAGTGAAACACCTTATTGATTACCCCTTTACTTCTGCAAATGTAGACAACTCTGACATTTTGACTGCTTTTGCATGAATGTTCCCTCAGCCCTGCCACAGCGCCTGATGGACTTCTTGCTTTTTGTTTTATTTCTAACTTAATGAGGAGCTCTACACTCTGCACTGGCCTTATACTGGGGGCCTGATGCAGTATATGTATTCAATTATTATTTTCTAATACAAAACATTTGTTTTAAAGTACATTCGTAATCCAATAGTTGCCCATTTTTGGAAATATCAGCCGTAGGGATTACATTTGGGAACCATTTTCGTTCCACCTGACCTACATACACCAACCGTATCACTGCACAGAAGGAAGCATTCATCTATTCATGGAGGAGATGCCTGTGGTCCATGGCTGTGTTTAACATTAGCCAGCTAAGTTAATTTGATAGTAACAAGTTCTTTATTTCTGGAAAGAGACATTGCGGTTAAGTTTGGAAAATGTATTTATTTTCACTCTTTGAGCACTATCAACCGGTTGCCTTGTAGTGTTTAACATTACACAACACTTAAAGGTGGGGTATGTAATTTCGGAGAAACCAGCTCGAGTGCGCTAGAATTTGAAAATACACAACCGGAGAAAATCTGGCACTTCCTTACAGAGCCCCTCCTCCAACACACACGAACGCGCACATGACCAATGAGGGCACGAGATAAGTTTGTGCACAGATGGAAGGCTGACAGGCAGGTAGGCCATCCAGTTATTTTAGCCGGGCCGGCTAAAATGATTGGTCGTACTTTTTACAGTACTACGGCTTCCACAGATGAAATTTCTTTATGGATTTTTTGTCAAAGCACTTAAGATATTCATTGCTATCAGGATGTTAAGAGCATTCCATGGAATATAACAACAAGTGTATCTCGAGCCGGTTTCTCAAACTTACCTACCCCACCTTTAAGCTTATGACAGAGAAAAGCAACAATTAAATAACAATGGGAAAAATAAATTCAGTCTGTTGTTAATAGTAATGTTTCTGTACAAACCTCATTTCGACGTTGCAGGAATGTCTCCGACTCCTCGTGAACTCTCGTCTCCTCCTTTATCTGTCTCTGCAGCAGCTGAGGGAGGAGATAACACAAGACAATATTTAAAGGAATACTTTAAAATTACAATTTTTAGGTCAATTTACTAACACTGTATTACCTTGGATTCTTGAAGACATAAAATTCCAAAATGTAAGACATTTCTTGATTACACATCCGTTTACAAACTCCCCCACAACTTGTTCAGTTTAACCCAGGGGTGGGGAACCTTTTTCCTCTCAAGGGCCATTTCAATTTTTTCAACATCCTCCGAGGGCCGTACAAATTATTGACCTCTGCTTAAAAAAACAAAAATCACAGCCCATTCATTTGGCCTTTCTTTCATGCTGTGCAAATAAAAAGCAACCTCTTAATCCAGATATCTTACCATGACTCGCGCATGCATTCACGTGCACGGTTGTGGCATGACCACCAAAACAGAAAGATATGGACACAAGATGTGTGCAAATGTATTTAGTTTCCTATCCATGTGAACATGATTTAAGTGAGGGAGTGGACCTAACCTCCTCTAGGGGGGTCCGGGGGCATGCTCCCCCAGGAAGATTTTTCTTTTTTAAATGTTCATTATCAATTAATTGAAAGCTACTTAAAATACTGAGAGAATAGACAAATAAAGATGTCGCAAAGACCTTTTGTGTTTGACTAGTCAGGACAAAATACAACTTTGTACAGTTACTGACGGTGTTAACAGTTAAGGACTTGTTTTACTTAACTATAATATAAAAAGCATCAATCTGGTGCACTTTGAGAGCAAAATTAAGAGATCTATGGAAACATCTCAACACCCATATGAAACAGAACTGTAAACAGATTTTCTTTTTCTTTAAGGATATTTTACAAATCACTCCCCTTTCAAACTGTATTCTTGTTTATTAATAACAACTTTTTTTTACTGTCATAGTATTTTATACCTGCTTTTCCTTTAGTCTCTTATTTTTTTATAACTATAATGATCATATAAAGATGTGCTTTTACCTCACTGGTTGTAGAAAAAGCTTCTCATATTCGTTAGCATAGCTAGCTAACCAGATGCTAATAACAACAAAGTGATTGACTGTATGATCAGTATGACAGATGAACAGATCGCCACTGGGCTTTCAACTAAAGACACAGCCACGCAAAAACTGCGGCATGTGTACAGCTCCTTATGGGTATTGCAATTTTAGGAAGTGGCGGAGCGACGTTCTGGTGCTCTCCGTCAGAACTGCACCCCTAGACGAGACATATACCACGTGATGACACGTTAGGCTCATGTTGTGTTCAAGGACCCTGACCTTGGCCAGGAAAAACACTCGCTTTTTTAATTCTTTTGCGGTCTAGATTTCTTTAATTTTTTTTGTGCGTGTGTTTATAAATTACCTCGAGGGCCGTATCAAATGGTCTCGCGGGCCGTATACGGCCCGGGGGCCGGAGGTTCCTCACCCCTGGTCAATTGGAGTTTGTTCTGCCACTCTCACTGTTTACACTCTGCCATACCCACCACTGTTACTTCCAAACCTGTTCCCCCTAAACCTGTTGACCTCACGTCAGTTCCCTCTGAGTATCATGACCCCCTGGAGGTCTTCAGCAAGGATCGTGCCCTGTCTCTACCACCTCACCGACCTTATGACTGTGCCATTGACTTGCTCCCCGGTGCTCCCTTGCCTTCGAGGCCTGAAATATCTCCAGGCCTGAAAGGGAGGCCTGAAAGGGAGGCCATGGAGACTTATATCATGGAGACTTATATCACTGACTCTGTTGCTACTGGTCTCATTCGCCCTTCTCGCTCTCCATTGGGGGCAGGGTTTGTTTTTGTTGACAAGAAGGATAAGACTCTACGCCCCTGTATTGATTTCAGGGGCTTGAATGACATCGCAGTGAAGAATAAATATCCTCTCCCGCTCGTAGACTCGGCTTTTGGTTTCCTCCATCAAGCCACCATCTTCTCAAAGTTGGACCTCCGAAATGCCTACCACCTAGTAAGGATAAAGGAGGGAGACGAGTGGAAGACTGCGTTTAAGACGCCCCTGGGACATTTTGAATATCTTGTTATGCCTTTTGGGTTAACTAACGCCCCTGCTGTGTTTCAGGCACTCATTAAAGGTAGGGTAGGTAAGTTTGAGAAACCGGCTCGAGATACACTTTTTGTTATATAGCAATGAATATCTTAAGTGCTTTGACAAAAAATCCATAAAAAAATGTCATCTGTGGAAGCCGTAATACTGTAAAAAGCACGACCAATCATTTTAGCCGGCCCAGCTAAAATAACTGGAAGGCCTACCTGCCTGTCAGCCTTCCATCTGTGCACAAACTTATCTCGTGCCCTCATTGGTCATGTGCACGTTCGTGTGTGTTGGAGGAGGTGCTCTGTAAGGAAGTGGCAGATTTTCTCCGGTTGTGTATTTTCAAATTCTAGCGATCTCGAGCCGGTTTCTCAAACTTACCTACCCTACCTTTAATGATGTCCTTCGTGATATGCTAAACAGATTTGTCTTTGTGTATCTTGATGATATCCTCATTTTCTCTCGTGACCCCCAAGAACATGTCCAACACATGAGGTTGGTGCTGCAGAGACTGCTGGAGAACAGACTTTATGTGCACGCACGCCAGATCTTCAGTGCTCCAGTGGGTACATGATGCTAAGATAGCTTGCCATCCAGGAGCACTTCGGACTCTAGGCCTCCTCCAGCAATGCTTCTGGTGGCCCTCCATGTCCTCCTGTATGTTGCCGCCTGCTCCGTCTGCGCCCTCAGTAAGGCATCCCACCGCGCCCCTGCTGGCCTTCTCCGCCCTCTTCCCATTCCTCATCGGCCTTGGTCTCACATCGCCATGGACTTCGTGGCGGGTCTTCCCCCATCGGAAGGTAATACAGTTATCCTGACTATTGTTGACCGCTTTTCCAAGGCCGTACACTTCATTCCCCTACCTAAATTACCTTCTGCTCTGGAGACTGCTACACTAATCACCCAGCATGTTTTTCGATTGCATGGCATTCCTCAGGACATTGTTTCAGACAGGGGTCCGCAATTTGCCTCTCGAGTATGGAAAGCTTTTTGCCGGGCGTTGGGGGCGTCGGCCAGTCTGTCATCAGGTTACCACCCGCAGACCAATGGCCAGACTGAGCGTGCTAATCAGGACCTGGAGGCAGCCCTTCGCTGTGTCTCTTCTCGCCATCCAGTCTCCTGGGCCTCCCACCTGACTTGGGTTGAATATGCCCACAACTCCCTGGTTTGCTCCGCCACAGGTATGTCTCCATTCATGGCTTCTGTTGGGTTCCAACCCCCTCTCTTCCCCACCCAGGAGAGGGATGTGGCAGTTCCCTCAGTGCAGGGGCATCTTCGGCGTGCCCGCAGAGTCTGGCATGAAGCTCGGGCAGCTCTCACTCGCACTGCTGCTTGGAACCAAAGACTTGCAGACCGCCATTATTACAGCGGATTATTAATCCCGCTGTGGTTAGGCTCAAGCTGCCTGCTGCCTTGAATGTCCACCCAGCATTTCATGTTTCACTTCTCAAGCCAGTTTCCTCCAGTCCTCTGAGCCCTCCAGCCGAGCCACCTCCTCCCCCCCGGATTATTGACAATCACCCTGCTTTCACTGTCCAGCGGTTGTTGGATGTGCGAAGGCGAGGCCGGGGGTTCCAGTACTTGGTGGATTGGGAGGGGTACGGGCTAGAGGAGCGTTCGTGGATCTCCCGCTCCCTTATTTTGGACCCTGATCTCCTTAGTGACTTCTATGTTAGGTACCCGGACAGGCCTGGTAGGACGCCAGGAGGCGTCTGTTGAGGGGGGGGGGGGGGGGGTACTGTGATGATTCTGTTTAGTTTTGGATTTGTTGTGTGCTTTTTTTGTGTTTTCTTCTGTCTCCCCCCTCCCTTCTCTGTTTTCCTCTGCAGGGCTGGTGTGTGACAGGGAGTTGGCTGGCTCCTCCCAGCAGCAGACGAGGCACACCTGTTTCCACTCACCTCTTCACCTGTTGACATAAAAGCCCGGGTTGCGGTCGAATAGTCCATTTAGCTTAGGAACCTTCCTAACGGAGTGAAATGACCCGGAAGTCCCTCAGTGGCAGCCATGATAAGTGCAGTTCGAATTCTCTAAATGAAAGGAAAGGAGCTTTCAAACTTCCTTTATAACCTCCTTTAGCTTAGGAACCACTGGACCTCCCTAACCTAAAGGAGAGGAGAAAATGCTGCCCCACAATGCCTTGCGGCCGCGGGCCCGCGGCATTTGCCGTCACACAACAGTCGGCCGTTCACCGAAACAACCGATTATGAACGAGAAATGATATCATGAAAGTTACGGTGCTTATTAAGCATTTTAAAACGTATGTGGTAAGTTGCCAAAGTGCTTTGTTTTGAACGTTCATCAGTATTATAATCAAAAAGAGAAATATGAACGTTCGTTTTTACTGAAATGATCAAATAAAGTCAACATTTCACAGTCTTTACTGAGCTGTGTGGGGTTTGTTCAACTTTAAAAAGATGTTTGAATGGTGATATACACAGTGATAGATGTTAAGGACTAACGTTTATAATAAATACATTTGTATTGATTTTAAGATCTTTTCATACAATCATACGTATTGGGATCATTTGTATTAATGTGGACCGGAGGGAGAGGGTGACGAGCATAAGTTTCACTTTCCTTTTTTATTTCAATTCCAACTTTGGTCATGAAGAATATGTTTCTCTGTTGTCCCCGTTCATAAAGCATATAAAACAACAGCATCAGAGCACGGTGCAGAGTCTCTAGATGAGTTTACAGTAGTCCCTCGTTCTTATTAAACATCCATGTTGTAGTCCACTGTATAGAAAACTGTAGTTTCCATAGTTTCCCCACAGCAGCAGGCGCACATTTATGACCTCCACTGGCGCATCATAAACACGTTGGATAGTGAAAGTGCAGTCGGATTCTCTAAAGTACCGCAGTCTCTTCTCCTAAATCCTTTTGAATTCTCCTATCCACTATCCCTTAACCCCGTGACGTTTCACTCAGAGGTCAAGGAATAGACCATAGGGTTAGAACTTAGGAGCTGATTTTTGGAGTATTCGACCGCAACCCCAGTCCTCTTGCCACTTCCCTGCCAGATAATTCCTTTGTGTTCGACCCTCCGGTGTGTCTCGCTGCTCTCCTCGTCCCTGTGATCTTTTCGCCTGGATTTTTGCCTCCTGTCCCTGACGTCTCCGTGCCAGCCAGCTTCCTGCCTCCACTGCCGTTTACTGTGCCTCTGCTTAAAATAAACGTTTTGTTTTTGACCATCTCTCTCTCTAAGTCTTTCGCTTTGGGGTCCAATATCTCTAGGCCGTAACATGTGGTGGTCTACCAGGGGCCACAGCCAATGGCTAAAACTGTACTACTTAAGAACTCTGGACACACACAGACAGGTAGCACGCTTGCACAACTCTACGACTCTGTTTTATATAATAACGTTTATTTCCAAAGATTTATCAAGAATTTTCCGTTTGTGGATTCTTCGGTCACTATAAAGCAGGGGTGTCACATCGCAGGCCACATCAGCATTATGGTTACCCTCAAAGGGCCGGTGGTAACTTTAAGACTATATCAATATATCTATACATTATAATATAACATAACTGTCCCTGCATTCAATTATTATTGGTTCTAGTAGTATCGCAAACAATAACCTTTGAAAGCAGAGGTCTAGGCAAAATAATTGGCAGAAAATATTCAAGTGTAAAATAATTGTACAATTAAGAAAAAATAGTTCTGTAACAAAAACGGATTGTTATGAATCAATATAATATGCATAGACACAACAATGGTATGGAGGCACACACACTTACATTTATCTTCGTTATTGTAACAAAAATCCCATTAATTTATTAGATTATGAAACCTCATTATAACTCATTACACGATAAAAGTTTGGCGATAAAAGTTAAAGGGGACCTATCATGCAAAATGCACTTTTGTACGTCTTTTATACATGAATATGTGTCCCCGGTGTGTCAGGGAACTCACCAAGTGTCAGAAAACACAACCCCCTCTCTTTTCCTCCATACCCAAATCTCTAAAAACGGGGCTGCAACAGAGCTGATACAGACTGATCCAGATTTGAAATTGTTCTGACGTCAGAAACGGGGTGCTCCGCCTACATATATGGACAACTCTCCACCTATCAGGGGAATGAGAGGTTGCGTGGCATGGTAACAGCATGGTAACATGACGCTTGTGCTCCGTGGTCAGCTGCAGCTCATTTGCCACAGAATCAGCCCTTGTGAAGACAGGGCTGGAATAGAGCAAATAGAGCGAAATGAGGCATGGCTAAAATGCATTATCTGTTTGGTATTTTGAAAAAAAAACTTCGCAGACATGTTTTATATAGGTATGGCCCTACAATATATTATTCAAATATAGCATGATAGGTCCACTTTAAATATTCAGATTTTACTAATTCATTTATTTTAGTTATCTTTTTTATTTACTAATTAAACTGAGTTATTTTTAAGAATTCAAGGTACACTGAACAAACTGAAAGGTTGACTTAAATTACTTTACTTATGAAACAAATTACATACTGTATAATTGTATTCGGTTACCTGAACGCAATAATATTAAGTTTAAATAGAAAATGATTGGTTCAACTTAATATTATTCCTTTCAACTAACCTATTACAATGATGTGGTATCTGTTGACAAAATACATTTAATTCAAGTAAATGTTTAATTTTTTCAGTGTAGGGAGGTCAGAGTAAAGTAGAGTCTTAGTGTAGACGTGTAACTGAGAAAAATGCACCAACACTAATTATTTTATACCATGATGTGAGAGATGGTGTCCTCTTATTTAGTATGGCAGACCAAATTGGAGAACACCTCCCTCTGTGGGCTTGGTTAGGGAGGTGGGACTAACAGGACTAAGATGTATGGACTGTTGGACCCACCTCCTGCTCGTGCTCCAGCAGCTTCTCGGCCTGGCTGCCCTCCCTCTGTCTCTGCTGGAGCTGCAGCTCGAGGTTTTTCTCCTCAAGCTTCTTCCTGTGGGCCATCTTTGCTGACAGATCCTCCATTTTGTGCTGCAGATCTCTGGCCTGCTGGGACAAGTCCTGAGGGAAAGGTATTGGACATGTTGGATTATTCACCTTCTTGCTGACTAACATATTTGAGTTTGTTCTCAAATAATCATGCAGACAGTTTTATTTCTCTTCCCTTTCTCACCTTCAGTTTCTCCTTTTTCTCTTGCGTCTCCTCATGTTGTATTTGCAGAGCTTGATTTCTTTGCTCCAGCTCTTTCTTTGCCTCTCTAGGTGAAGACACACTCACATTACTGATACGAAACAGATCTCCACTCCATCATTTGTTATTTTTTATAATGATTAAGATTATAATTACTAATAGTGCAGCATAATGTATTATCGGACCTTCTCATTTCATCATCCCTCTTCTTCTGCTCCTCTTCCTCCCCCAGCTGCAGGAGAGAAGTAATGCACTGCTTCTCCTCCAGGTCCACGTGCAGCAAAGAAACCTGCTGCGTGATGGACTGACTGCAGAGAAGAACACGAAGACAAAAATACTCAGAAAATGTACGATTTTTCATCTGTATAAATCATGCTGTAATACAAAAATCGGCATTTAGCTTTTCTTTTCTTTAAAACAATAATTCAATGCACAGACATAACTATGTATTAAGTAAATTATGTTTTCCAATAAAATACATTTGTTCGGTGCAACATAATGTTTACTACTCACCAATCTCTCCTAAGCTTGGTCAGCCTGGCTTTCTCCTAAACACACACACACACACACACACACACACACACACACACACACACACACACACACACACACACACACACACACACACACACACACACACACACACACACACACACACACACACACACACACCACACACACACACACAGTCATTTCAGTCTATACATAAGCCATACCAGTAAGATAATGAAATGGAGAATAACCTAAAACATCATCATCATCATCATCATCATCCGATCAGAGCAGCTGGTTGATGTTCCTCTGGTTCCTCTCAACAGGAACAGGTGATAAACACAGTGGTTCACCTGATCCGCTGAATCTCCTCTCTCTTTCCTGATCTGCACCGTCAGGGTGTGTCCCAGGATCTCCAGCTGGTCTGCACAGTCCTCCACTACAGCTGCCAGCCTCAGACTCTGAATCCTGGATAAAGACATCCTGTGGGGAGAGACAGAGCCGTACAAGTGCCGTACATTCACTAGTTGCATTTAGTCAAGTTCTGTACTTAAGTACTATTCTGAGGTTCTTGTTCTTCACAATGTTTAATTACATGTTCTGCTACTCTGGATTTGTACGCTACTGCAATACATTTTGGAAGCAAATATTGTACTTTTAACTTTAGTTTATTCATTTGACAGCTTTAGTTACTTTGCAGAGTACGTTTTTTAATACAAAATATCCTTCAAATCAACTTATAAACTGTTAAATAGATTAAACTACCAGGCAGTATATAAAGAATTTAAAATTATCCCAAGATTTATCAACTAAATTGAGCATATTAGTGCTTGAAAATTATAATCTAGTGATATATACTTCATTATAAAAAGGGTCATTTTGTACTTCTCATTTTGATTGCTGATACTTTCTGTACCTAAATAATAATTTGAATGTAGGGTATTTAACAGAGAATGTTTACACTGTGTCATCTCAGCTGACAAAGATAGATCAGATATTTACGGTTAATAATAAAAAGGTACGTTTGATACACCCTTTTTTCTCTTTAACCCTTGTGTGGTGTTGGGTTAATAAGATGTTTTACACACACACACACACACACACACACACACACACACACACACACACACACACACACACACACACACACACACACACACACACACACACACACACACACACACACACACACACACACACACACACACACACACACACACACACACTGCTTCGTTTCTATTTTGCTGGATGAGTATGCAACCCAGGTCATTTATAATAGTGGACGTGGATTTTTTTCATCATAAAATATTACTTAATCACAAAAAAGATGAATGACATTTCCATTGTTATTGTGACAAAGCACATTATTTTATAACTGTTACCTATATTGTTGGGAATTAAGATAAAGACCATATATGTTAGGGATTGTAAATGCTGTTATACAGTACCAAAGTGTCCCAAAATGAACATAATTCAAGGGTTAAGATGGTTTATCTCAAAACTAAAGTTAATTCGGTGTTTCAGTTGCTCTTTAAAATGCCAAATATACCAAATAACTTTCCAAGAGTCATTAATTTGTATTAAAAAACCATGTAACGTACGGTAAGGTAATCAATAAGTAAGGAAACATCGACTAGGAGACAGAGGCACAGTGATGCTAATACAGTGGTCACCATGTAGCATGATGCTAGCTAACACGAAGTGTAACAGTCACTTACTTCAGTTCCCGCAGTCACTCTCACTCTTGGAGATCAATATTTTATCCTTCAAAAGTTCAAACCAACAACTATATTTCATTTAAAAAGAAAAAACGTTTGACAGTTTACATGTCTCTATGGTAACGTACTTTTTTGTCATGGAACTTTATTGACAGAGCAACAAAATGACAATAACGGCTGCATCGTGTTCTCGCGATATAGATCATTTTCCGAGATGTATTATGCTGTCATCTGCAACTACACATAACATCCATCAAACTACTTTAAAAGAATGAAACAAAGGGGATTCAGTTCATTTTCCTACCCTCACCATTAGAGGGTAATGTTATTAAATGTATATTAACATGCATTTGCATTTGTATTCATATATATATATATATATATATATATATATATATATATATATATATATATATATATATATATATATAACGTTGATTATGTCTGTCTCTGGGGAGGACTTGGGTTTGAAACCTGTATGGTTTTATAGTGTTATATAAAGGGAATACACTTAAAAAGGACTTCACAAATCACCCAGCAGGGGGCAGCGTGAGTGCATGAAAAGAAACACAATACAGGTCTCCTCAGACTCAGAGATTACTGCACTGAGACTGATCTCAGGTCAGTGGCAGAGGTGTGAAGTAACTAAGTAGATTTACTCAAGTACTGTTTTCCATCCATCCATTATTTCTTGAAATATTTCAGAGAGGATCAAAGTAGTGAACTGAGCTTACAACCTACAGAAATCCCTAAAAAGCAACAAATTAAACAAGCACAATTCACTGGACTGATTTTAGATGTTATATCTTTTGGACAATGGACATACACCATTATCATTGACAGCTGTCTGCAATTTCAGTTTTTTTGGAACCTACAGTAAGTGTTCTGCATTCAGTTGTTTTGAATCTCTCTGCATTTGCACCATAGCTTCTTACATTGGACTGAGATGTACCCACTAAATGTTGTATGGCGGCCAGATGCTCAACCGTGCATCTGCAGCGCAGCCATACGCACACACACCTGGTGCCCCTCCTCCAGCTGCAGGAACACAGCATATGCCAGCATTCACCTACTGAGATACATAAACGTAGCCGGCCAATTGGGGCGAGCCTACCTGAATGCGCGCGCAGGCCCACAGTATATAAGGCGGCCACGCCTCCTGACTGTCATCCTTTTCTCTTCAGCGAGCAGGACAACACCTGACAGAGAAAGTAGAACGTTTGAAAGAAGAAGAAATAAGTTATCATACCTTCATGGAGTCGCCACTTCTAGAGACCAGGGCCTGTCCTTCGTGCCCCAAACCTCTGCTTCGAGTGTTTGGGGGACCAGAATATGGCCGAGGCGGTGCCATTCACATTCGCCATTCCAGCGGGGCGCGCGCATGTGAGTGTGATTAACCGCAGGAAGTGCTGTCAAAGCGCTATGCGGGTGCAGGGATATTATGGCCGGCGTGTTGTTGTCAGAAAACACACCTCGCCTAGTGTAATAGCTCCGATTGATGCATTTCACCGTCGCTGTGAAGACGGCATTATGACGGGGCACGCGGCCCCCCGAGAGCGTGCCGTGGTGCGTTCAAGGACCTCAGTAGAAAATCGGCCCTTTCTGTGTCAGCCCCCCATGAGCCAATCTTCCTTTTATGCAGGTCCCCTAACACAGTTTTATGGGGAATGGAAGCTCAGCTGTGTACTGACAGAATGGTAGGACAGGACACTGAAACTGGGGTACTCACTCCAGTTTTGCAGCATCCCTCCTCCATTCAGGGGCATAAGAGAGGCAAATCTATCATCCCAGGAGGAGATAGGTTTCCTTTCAACAGAGATTCTGGCCCTGTTGCAAAAACAGGCTGTGTCTGTTGTGCACTCTCAGGAGAGAGAAAATAGGCTTTACTCCATGTACTTCCTGGTTCCCAAGAAGACAGGAGAATTCAGACCCATTCTGGATCTTCGCAGCCTGAATCAGCACATTGCCTGCAAAAAGTTCCATATGTAAAACAATTACTGGAACTAGGTCAGCCGGGTGATTGGTTCACAACCATCGACCTGAAGGACGCTTACTTTCATGTCGAAAATTGCTCCAAAGCACAGAAAGTATTTGCGTTTTGCCTTCCAGGGGGTAGCCTATAGTACAACGTACGGTGCTCTGGTCACAGAACCATTTGTGCCTCTGGAGCTCTCCTCCCTGAAGGCACTATCATTGAAAACAGCTTTGCTGCTTGCCTTGACTTCGGCCAAGAGAGTGTGCGAGCTGACCACTCTGTCGATGCGCCCGAGTTGCCTTTTGATTCGGGGTGACCGTAGCGGGGCGACACTCAGACCGAACCCCTCCTTTGTTCCCAAGAACCTAAGGAGTTCGTTCAGGGCGAGGGCTATACAGTTAGACGGCTTTAGTCTTCCACCCCATATTGGGGACAGGGAGGCTAAATTGCACCTCCTCTGCCCGGTGCGTGCGCTGGCAAGTTATGTAGGGCGCATGGCTTCCATTAGGCGCACTGAACAGCTGTTTGTGTGCTTTGGGGATGGTGTGGCCGGTAAAGCTCTGTCCAAGAAACGCCTGACAGGATGGCTCTGCGAGTGCATTTCACATGCCTATGGACAGGCGGGGAGAGCCTTCCCCACTGGGGTCCATGCATACTCTACATGTGGTATGGCTGTATCAACAGCCTTGTTCAACGGCGTGAGTGTGGAGGACATATGCACGGCGGCGTCTTGGTCTACGCCAGGCCCCTTCATAAGGTTTTATCTCTTGGATATGTCTGGCTCCTTCTCATCGTCTGTGCTTGCTGGGGCAACACAGGACTGGTGAGGGGGGGGGGCTGTGGGTCAGTAGGTATCTGACCCCCCCCCTGGACATAATGCACTTATGTTTTCCCATGCTCCTTAGGGACCCGGGAAACATGGTGCGCAGTAAGCCCCATACAGGGCTGGAGGCCTTCCTCACTATTTTTCATGCACACTCTACATGAGGTAAGCGTGTGTGAGTGTGCTCTACCCAGCCAAGTAAGCTGCGGCCCCGACTTCTCCACGGTCTCAACCGGATGAGAGGAAGTTGGGGTGCAGTGGCTGTTAACCAAAGGCCGGTCAGGGGCAGTGTGATGGGTTGATGTTGTGGAACGACAGGGCGTTTATCCATCAGGGCTCCACCCACTGTACCCATAGAGTCCAGTAGAGGGCGGAGCCTGTGTGAGATATAACGGGGGGTTAAGTATTGTAACCCTAGTTATATAAGCACAGGCGGAGCCCTCTACCTAGGGGCCCTGTCTTTCCTATGCCTCTCGCTGAAGAGGGTGTAGGATGACAGTCAGGAGGCGTGGCCGCCTTATATACTGTGGGCCTGCGCGCGCATTCAGGTAGGCTCGCCCCGATTGGCCGGCTACGTTTATGTATCTCAGTAGGTGAATGCTTGCATAGCATGGTTGAGAGTAGTACCCATAGAGTCCAGTAGAGGGCTCCGCCTGTACTTATATAACTAGGGTTACAATACGTAACCCCCCGTTATTGTACGTGAGATGGAAGTATTCCATCACAGTACACTCACACAGTCACACTATAACAGTTTCTACATTAAACCAAACAGAAAGAAAATCAACCCTTTGAAAATCTTTATGTTCCATAATGTTTTTCACTCTCCTTCAGCCAGATTTCTTTAGCTCTATCAGTCGATCACTGATAGCAGGTTGTTTTTTTAGAATGTTTTGTCTCGGAAAGAGAGTGAACCTTAGAATGTCAACTGGATAACAACCAGCTCGCCTCGCCATCACATTACTTTTAACCACGTCACCACTTATGAATGGAAGACTGCCAACATCATCCGGCAAGGGCTGCATATAACATAACAAAATGTATCTGCTAATCATTTGTTCTATAAAATGCCAGAAAAAAGGGAAACAGGTCAAGACATAACATGTGTTTTCATACTGGTGTGTTTAAATCGGTTTAAATCAAGAACAAAGAAGATTCATGATCAGGTATTGCATTAGAGTTTATTGTTGTAGTCATCATTTTGTTGCACTCTCTGCAGGGAGGTACATCTTAAAGGTAATACAGACTGAGGGTACAAGCTACACCGTAGTACATGCATGATGCAGTCACACTGTGGACTCTGCCCTGAACACCCTAATGCACTGGGAGAGTTCCCCTCTCAGAGAGACAGATCTACAACAGTCTCACCGCCATGACACCATACAGGCAACACACCGGACCTACAAACACACCTTTAGAAACGAAGTATGTACAGGTACAGTAGATGACTGTTCAATATGTGAGTGTGATAGTAAAAAAAGGCAGTTATTAAGGCAGAAATATATTAATGAGGAGTGTTATAAAGAACAAAATAGACACCCAGGTCAGTAATGAGACTCTGAATGAGGGAGAGAAATCCTAAAGGCATCATATTGAGACTTACAGTATGATGGTTTTTTCCTGAAGTCTGTACAGTGAACTGTGCATCTGTACACAAAACATGAGGTGTTAATTATGACTAATCCTTACACAATACAAATACTTAATGTAAAGAAAAGTAAACAATTTAATATATATTTATCAACGCAAAGATACATTTAAAAATGCATATGTAAATCAAGACATGGCACAACTGAAAAAACTGACACATGGTACAGAAGGTAAAAATGTTGCTATACCTGCTTTACTCTTAGTGATTGTAGTTAGTTGCATATGAATGGACAGTAGGTTAAATGTGCTTTAATGGCCCTAAAAACATTTTGAATCTGCTTCTCTACTAGTAGCAATAAGGTTGAATATTACAACAACATATTTATCTGTTCATTTACGTCTGCTCTTTTGGGATCTCCCCAACTGGGGCTGTGGAGTGTGGAAGATGTGGTTATTTACCAGACTGGAACGTTTTAATAAAAGTGTTGCATCATGGGAAATGTTTTTGAGCGTGACCCAGATATAACTAATGGAGACAGACAAACACACATGAAGGAGAAACAACATCTCTGCAGCTTCACTTTTCTTCTTAGAATTATTCCTTTATGAAAGTGCAAGTCTTATGTGATTAAATCTGATTAGCTTAGCATTAGTTTTATTATTAGCATCTAGTTTTGGTTTTTCCATCTGAGAAACTGAGATTTAAAAACAGATTTCCAGGGCCCCAGTTTGTCTCATCTTGTAAGACAACAGCACATATTTTTGTTTGGGGTGACATGGATAAGAAAGCTGTTATCATTTGGCACTACATTTGAATGAAAACCAGTTATTTGTTTTAATTGTGATGCAAAGAACGGCTTGCTTTTTTTTTGAAAGCATGCTTTTAAATATGCTTTGCAAAGAGAAAAGTGGGAGGAGTTTCATTGATCATCATCAGCAAAATAAAACAGAGGGACTTCATCGAACAATCATTTACCGTATACACACATGTAAAAAAAATAAACCCATAGAAAATGTACAGTTTGTTATTCCGTAGAGTCACTCTCAGTTACATTAAAGTCTCTCTGCAGGGCCAACAGTCCGTCTTCAGTCTTGTGCTTAAAGATTTTAATGTGAGTTGGGTTGGACCACCCGGGTAATGAAGTAATTCAAAAGTCTGTGGCCAGAGATTAAAGGATCATCTATGATATGGTAAAAAAAACAACTGTATGCTCTTGTCTGAAAGAGCTATTCACGACGATCAGAAAACAGCGACAAACACCACACCGTCCACCACCGAGGTCCAAATCTGAGTATACGTGTACAGTAAGATCATACCCAGTGCTGAGTGCTTCTAATTGTGCCGAAGGAGCTGGAAGGAGCCAGAGATAGAGAGATGAGGAGTTTCAGATCTCCTTGATTGTCCGTTCTGACGGCCGGTACTCCTCCCGTCCTTTAGGGGAGGACATGTAGAAGGACTGGGTCTTGCGTTTTAGGCGCGCTCTCTTGGTGGCCAGGGACAGGCTGTGCTTGCTGGAGGCGATAATGTCAGTGATGAACGTCTTGCAGTCCACACACACCTCCATGGTGGCCCAGTCCTCCGTCAGCTCTGAGGGCAGCTCCAGTTCCTCGTGAGACTTTAAAGAGCCGTGCTTGGATAACCTACATGGGACAGGAGGACAGGAAGGCATAAACAGGATCAGAGGGATATTGTTTTTTTTACTTACTTTGACTTATTGTTGAAACTAAACATGTAACACATGGGTAACACAATCTGTGTGTCAGGGTGACAATCCTAATTACAAAAAAGGATATTTTCTCACTAACATGTAGTGGTCACTAGTCATGTGAATTGATTCATTGTTTGGGTTTTGACGTTTTTCCTTTTCTTTTTTTCAGCATTTGGATAAATCAACACTTGAATTGAATTGTTTGAATAAAGATTATGTAATGCAATATATGCCCCAGCATTTTATGAAATTATGATAAAGAACATATAAATACCTCTGGACCCTTTGTACAACACAAAAATATGCAAACTGTGCTTCTGTATCTCCGAAGAAAAAAATGTAAATGCAATTCAGTTCAGGGAAATTGGACAGATATTTAATCTCAAACAACCAAAAAACATTTCTATATCATTTCAAAATGTGTTAAAGAGTTTATTTTGTATTATACTATAACACAATTTGACTTTCAACATAGTCAAGCAATGCAATTTACCCGGTAGCCAATCACAGTATTGCAGTATGAAATTTGATTACGGGCAAAAAGAATGTCAATTGTAATAGAGACATATTTGAAATTGTTGACAGGAAACCTCAAACGACAAACATTGTGAATAATAACTATATTGACTATAAATATGACTATTTCGATTTTTTGATTCAAGGAGGTTTTATAGAGTATTTGTACAACTTTCCTTGATCTGAGGAAAAGGCGAAAAGAGAAAAATCAGTAACGTCAGCACAAGCCAAGCAGGTACCTGCATACAGGTCAGTGGGAAAAGTAGTACTGCCCCCATCATTTAGAAAACATTTTGGAGTATGTACCAGGCGAGCAATTCACATTTATTGAAATATGCCCCATCTTTGGGTACTGTACATCCATGCATACATCCATGACTCAGGGCTTTGTGGAAATGAGGCGTTTGGGGCAAATGTACTAATATCATGCTAACTCTCAACAGGATAATTAGTTGTACATAAGAACTTCCTGCCTGAATGAATATGAGTGTGTTTAGCTCTTACTTGGATATGGTCTTGTGCAGGCCGTGGCGCTGTGGGCTGCTGGAGGACTTCTCTGATTTGGCAGCAGCTGTGGCTCCAGAGGCTTTTCCAGCTCCTATAGATGCCCCCTTTTTTTCTGCTTTCAAAGTGGGAGGCGCTGCGGCCCCTCCCTCTGCTGACGGCCCCGGCCCTCCAGCCACAGAGAACCCTTGTCCTACGGCAGCAATGGCATTCACCCGCTCCCTGGGGAGGGTGTTGGTGGAGCCAATGGAGTAGATGGGCAAGCTGGAATAAGGTTTGGACGGCAGCCGCATCTGTTAGAGAGACCAGATAGGAATGTAATTAAGTAAAAGCTTAATGGTTACTGAGAAAGAATACTGATGAGGCCTACATGTTTTAAGGAATTCACATGTTCAGTTCATCTACTTGAATAGGCATCTTTAATATTATAATGATACAAAAGATAGCTTTAAGAACATCAGAAAAACAATATGGTTGCATACACAGTTTATAGCCGTTCAGGCACAACACAACGATGGCACCACTGCCCTGTGAAACCCATTATTTATTGTAAATAATAGCTTTCAGAGAACAGTGGGAATGCCCTAAGCAGCTTTTTGAGCAGCGTTTGGGCTAAGGTTATTATTATTTTGTAATATATTAGGGACTCACTAGTGTATCTTAAGGCAATAGAAGAGTTGTTAAATAAGATAAAGTCAGTTTTTGGATGTCACCACATTATTGTCAGTTGCCTAATTAGATCTTATAGTGGATCAAGTAAATGCTGCTCTGACAGCTGATTGGCTGATCGATTCATTCAAGCTGACTCACCTTTTTGCAGCACTGTGCACACACAGGCCTGCACGGAGAAAAGAATGAAGGGAGTGATGAATGAAAACAGTCAAGCTTACTTCTAAATACTTTTTTCAAACAATGCAAGAGATGAAGATAATCATGTAGGTTGTTTTACTTTTTGCAAAACTGGCAGATGTAGGACCAGGTGAACAGGGAAAACCTTTTGGTTCGACAACAGAAGCAGAGCTGCAATAAAAAAAAAAGATGATGTTAGATATCAAGAATGGTACAGCAGGTTACAACTGATTCTATACAGTGTTTCGTTTTCTACTGATAATGATGATGGGGGCAGCAGTTACCTTTCCCTTCTTCATGGCGTTGTAGACCTCTTTGTACTGCTGGAACTTCTCCAGCTCTGCCTTTACCAGCACCTGTCTGATGTGCATCACCTCCTCCACCGTCAGAGAGAGACACTCCACAGGGAAGCAGAACTCCTCCTATAAGGAAAACACACACACACATACACACAGTTACACACACACACACACACACACACACATATACACACAGTTACACACAGTGAGTGATCCTGGCCACAGCACATCTAACACAGTGTTTAACATTCAGCGCACAAACAGCCACCCCTCTGCTTCTTTAGAGCAGCCTGTGAGGGTCCACACTACATTTGGGTCATACAAATGTTCTCATTGTTCAGTGAAGATTCAGAGAGGGTTCGTGATGCGTAAACTAGAGAGATGGGAAGACGTCATGGCAACAGAGCTACTCACAAACAGGGCAATGATTGTAATAAATGACCATTCCAAAGTGATGGATTTGTTTTTTTCCCCCAATTTATATTTTTTATATTTATGTTTATGCCCATAATCAAACATCTTTATTTGTTTTTAATTGTAGCAGGGCTGCAGCAGTTTTGTAGCCGGGTGGTTCCATGTGAGGCAGTTTAACCAAAACGTCCTGGGTTCTATTCCAGACTTTTGACCTGTCTTGCATGTCAAACCACATCTTATATGGGCCCTATTATGCTTTTTGGGGTTTTCCCTTTCCTGTAGTGTGTTATAAAGGTACTGTATCTGTGCATGTAAATGGTCTGCAAAGGCTAAAATCCCTGTGTTTCTCTCCAAACACCTCCCCCCTGCCTGAAACGCCTCCATTGGACTCCTTTGTTTACTTCTGTAACATAGTGACAACACTGTGTAACACTCACGCTTCTATTGGCTAGCAGTTTAACAAATTGTACGTGATAGGCTAAGGGGCGGGACGTCTCTAAGAGGTTGACCAATCACAACAGAGCCGGCCAGCTAACCAATCAGAGCAGACTGGACTCTGGTTTCAAAATAATATCTTTAAACAATAATATTAATAATTGAAAATGTGACAAATGAAAGCCACAGCTGTGTGGGTTGTGTTTGACTTGCTATACTGTGACTGGTGGAAGCATTGTGCTTTGCTTTGCATGTTTTTGGTCTGCACAATGTATCGTTATTTTCAGGAAAGGTTCAATATAATTTGTTCAGGTCTGACTATAGAAAGCTTCTTTTGTTTCGTTCAGTAAACACAGTCTGCCTGCTATCCCTTAGTACTGTATCAGTTACGTTATCTCCGCAAAGCACAAGCCTGAGGGGGATCATGTGTTTTTGGCCGTGTGTCCTTGTGTGTCCACAGCTAATCTCTCATACTACTGGACCTATCAACCTTATATTATTTGTGCACATTTCTGACTGTTGCTATGTAACCCAACCAGAGGCATCAGACAACTTCAGAATATTATTAAAATCTTGAGAGATATGTGAAAAGGCTTCTAAACAGTGCCTACATACAGCATCGTTAGAGCCACACAATGATGTCGAGATCTTAAAATACTTTTTATTTCTAACGCATCCCACCACCACCTGTTAAATATCATTTGTTCAATATTAGAGCAGATTTCAAATGTATTTTAGTTAAGACTGCAACTAATTGTTTTAGTGTGTTAAAATGAAAGCAGTGAAGTAAACAATGGATAAATAAATGATATTGTTCACTGGTCACATGTCATGACACCTCAGAGATAAAGCAGTGTGTCCCTAGTCTATAATGGCAGAAACCTACTCTACAGGTGAATGATGTTTAGTGAAGAAGGAAGCATGAGGAGAGGATGGGCAGCTAGAGTTATTATACCAGGACGGACAGGGGGAGACTGGCAAACCTTGGCCGACTCTCTTCCTCTGAGGTAAACTGCCCTGCACAGAGAAAATACTGCCTTCATCCACCCCAAAGCAAACGCCTCCATAGGGTGTGAACTCTGCAAAGGGTGGAGAGTGGAGGGAGAAGGGCAGAGGAGGAGGAGGAGGAGGAGGGGGTTCCAGGGACGATATGAAGCTATCATCCCAACCTGAAGGGAGGAAGGTTCCTGGAGCTTGATAAAGTCACACCAGGGGAAAATGTGAGAATAGACAGTAGATCTGGTCAAATAGAAAAGAGGAGGGAAGAAATCCAGTATCCAAGTATGAAAGAGATTAAAGTGAGTAGTTTCATCTCCTTCTCATTTGCTTTTCTGTAAAGATAATGATGATTTTTGGCCATGTTTTAGTGCAGTTCTTCATGAAGCAACTGAAGCTGGGCACGGTTTAGCATGCAAACAACAGAAAATAGTTTCCTTTCAGATCAAGTTTTTTCATAGCTATTGGTTTACTACCATTTATATATACATAGTATATACCATTTTACAAACACTTTCTGCTTATATCATGTGCAATAATAATAACAATGTACACTATTAACTTGCAATTATGTATCTGCCACTATGTTTATTTTTGCACTATTACTCATACAATACTGCTCGTCACTGTAAAGTTTTTTACATTCATTATTTGACCATCTATGTTTCTTGTAGTTGTTTAATTCGCTCTTTTTACTGCACTGTTAGTGTACCGTTGTATTATTAAAATTGTTATTTTTATTATTATGCTGCTGTGTTTATTGTATCTTTTTAACTCTGGTACAACAATTTCCTTCAGGATAAATAAAGTCTTATCTTATCTTATCTTACCACATATGCAGATATATACACATTTCTTTAAAGTTTTAATGTGACTGTCCCGGCTGTTCGTTTAATTTTCATTTATTTAGTTCTAGTTTCTTTCATATATATCTTTTGTGAATATTCAGGTGGAAAACTCTGACTTGTTTTTTTTTTACTGGCTACACTTTCTTCAGAGACGCCACAGTATGTTCTAATACTGTCTCATAGTGTCACACTATGTGATTTTGTTAAATAACAACTTTTACTGCACCTTTGAACAGTTTTAAAATGATAGAACCCTTATTCTGCTCATTCAACATGTTTTGTGTTTTTATTAAATCTTCTGAATCTACAGAGAAAAGAAGTGGGACTAACCAGAGACTTAGAGCTCTTTTTAGAAGGCGGCTGAAACAGTCGGACGTTGGTCGGGGTTTCCTTCTCGATGGAGTGTCTCCTCAGGGGGGTCTTACGCCTCTCTGGCTGAGGTGTTGAAGAGATGGGCAGGAACATGGGGGGAGCTGGTGTTCATAGAGGAAAGAGAGGAAAATGAGAGAAGATGACGCTGCTTGACTCGAAATATTCCATCGATTGGTTAATTCAAGGTTCAAGACATTTCCGTAATAAACATGGCAGAGGAGGCTGTTAGATTAAACCCATTGATCACTGTCGGTGTGCTGAGGTGTGAAGGGGACGTAGAAAGATTCCTGACTCACTTTTCTTCCCCACAGCACACTCTGGGGATGTATCATCCATCAAAGACGTAGCCACGCTGGAGCTGCTGGCGGACTTGTGCCCAAATATGTCATCCTGAATGCATGGAAAATACAAACACTTCAGTCATCATTTGCTCTGCACATGCTGGATGTTATTTCTAAAAAACACATCCTACACAAACAGACTGATACTGACGTCAGAGTCAGAGCTGTCCAGCTCGGCGAGGCTGGGCGCCTTCAGGAGCCTCTTCCTCTGAGGAACAGACTGGGATCCCGAGGGTTGTCCCCTGGAAGATGTGGAGCCGTTGGTCAGAGACAGAGTGCTGGACGTCCTCCTGCCCATGTATGGACTAAACTCATCTGCAGAGCCACACACAACAGAGTTATTCAGACAGAAGGAGGGAAAACACTTGACATGGATCTCAAAACAATTCCTCATATTACTCCTTGCATCCAATTTAATTCTTTAAATCTATTTTAACCGATCAGCCCCGAAAAAGGGGAAACCATTTTCAAAGTTTATTCGGAAGGTAAGATGCAATAAAGCCTATTCAGGATTGAGGTGTGAGATCCATCCCAAGGTTATATAGGTCAGGATAGGTGAGTTAAGTTGGTCTGAGGGGAGGCAGAAGAGCAGGCTGGTGTTACACAAAAAGCATGGATGACTCTTTTTTTAATATTATTTTCAGGGGATGCGCTGAATCCTTAAAATCCACAAGGTCATTCTGCATCGAGAGAGGAGTCGTCCAGTGATAGAAGCAAAATTGATGATAACCAAACCCCTAACAAGCTGCCTGACTCTAGCTGTACTTTCAAAATGGTTACGCTGAAAAGAGGGGTTTAGAGGGAGGGAGTAGAGGAGGAGAAATGGAGTGCTGCAAAAGACAGATTAAGACCTGCAGCTGATCTATGGGAGCACTGAAACCGCTCTCTTTTTCCTTTCAGTTTCTTCTCCTGTTTGTGGAAAAAGCTTCCTATTTCTATTCTGGACTAAGACTCACTTTTCTACGACCTAAGAGACTACATATTTAGGCTTTGTACACTTGTGTCCTGCCCAGGCTTTAGTATTGAAATATTGAAATAGAGGATATATTAGTTTACAGCCAGGGAGGCAGACAGACAAGGCCATTGGTTAAGCGTAAACAAGGCCTTCCAAACCAGAGCAGTGCTGATACCTTACCTACTCCGGTACGGAACAAATCCTGAGGCATACTGCGAGTTTTGCCAAAACCTAAAAGGGAACACCTCCTTCATTAGGATAGCTATAAGAATATTCCCCAATTTGGCATGTCTGTGCTTTAAGAACTCAACTATCAAGAACATGTATGTTGAGGTATTGTGATGTTGACCCACACCTCTTAAAGATTAACTTAGAGTTTTGCTGCATATCATTTTTGTCTAATGCTATTTTTGATGGTAAAATGTATCTCCTTGCCCCTTCTATTTTATTGATGACTGTTGAATGTCAGAATGTGGTTTAACAAAAAATCCTTTCCCCTTGATTCTATAACAAATTGATATACTTTAATACATTCATACTCACCGTCAACAAACACTGTTTTGTATTTTTATCTTGTTAGCTTAGCTTAGCATAAAGACAGGTAACAGGGTGTCTTCCAACCAGCACCTTTAAAGTGTTCTAATGAACTTAATGTTGGTTTACTCTATACATAAATATGATAAGTTATATGTTAGCAATTTTTTGTCTGGGTGCAGTGACTTCCTGTAGTATCTTACATGTTACTGCCAGGAAATAGTTCCTGAAAACTCCACATAAAACTTTAACTTTTAAAAGAAGAAGAAGAAAGCTAGCAGTTTCACAATTTTGTTTGTGTACATTTGGACAGAGCCAAGTTAGCTGCCTCCTGTCTTTATGCCAAGACAAGCTAGTATAACTCCTCCTGGTTCTAGCTTCAAACTTAGAGGGCTATTGATCCTTTCATCTAACTCTTCAAGATAGAGAATAAGCACAATTTTAAAATGTTGAGCTATTCCATAAATTGCCAATGCATTTAAACACACCGTCTCCATTTTGTCACTAGGAACAATATAATGGACCCAGAAGTGCATGATACATCACCAAAAGTGGAATATATATCCTGTGAAATGGATTTCTCCTTGAAACGTTATTTTCTTGTTCCTGATTAAAACCTTCATCATGTCCATTAAAGTGTCAATGGGTATGTACCATTAGCCATAACATACCGAGCAGAGTGAAAAACCACACGGCTCACTGTGTGAGAATGATCCATCACAGAGGGAAGTCCGTACACACAGACGTTTTCGGACAGCATGAATGAGTATGCAGAGGTGATAAAGCCTGTGCTGTGATGAGAGACACTGGCAGAGTGGAGCACAGCATTATTGTGATTTGCCTGTGTCAGCAGTATTTTCTTATCACCTCAATCAAAAGTGTCTCATTAAGTCGGTCATGTGCATTTAATGCTGAACACATGTCTCTACAGGGAGACCGGTGCTCTGCAGAGCATGAGGCAGCACCCTGATTCAATTCTGCAGAGTCACCTCTATGAAAGACTCTTTTGTATGACATTGATGATTCTGGGAGACACAGAGGTGGCGGTAACTCTGGCAGCTGCTCATATCGATCCCTTGATTAGATAGCTGGCTGCACACTTATGTAAGATTCACATTAAGGCAGTATATTTCACAGATGACACACTGGGCTAAGGTGACACTTTTCTCCTTCCTAATCCTGTATATTTGTTTGACAGGAGCTGTAGATAAGACAGACTGTATGAGCTGCACTTGTAAGACATTATGATAATTGAGTAGGATTATGAAACCACAACGATGCCTTCCAGCTAAACTTTTACCTGCACTGAGGCAATGTCATTGCACCATTCTTAAAAAAAAACATAAAATTGACTGTAAAACTCAGCCGGATTATGTTACATCATTTGAACTGTCACTGGTCATTAATTCAGCCTGTAAACAGATAGCACCAAGAACAGAAAATCCCTTTAGATATAGCAATCTGTCTGAGATCGTGTGATCTGTCCCAATCAGCGCGCTGAGTTTAATCTGTCCCTTCCCTTCAGTCAGATGCTGATGGGAGGTCAGGGTTCCATCTTGTGACAAAATCCACAGGCACTGCGAAGTGTACATGTAATGAACCCAGTCCATGTTGCCAACAAAATAACTGTCAACTATGGAAAAAGTTTTGCAAGGTAAGGATATTCAAAAGGGAGGAAAGCATATGATGCCTGTCATTGCAGTAGGTTAAAGCAAGTTTGTGCTTACAGTATTCTACTGCCGATTAGAGAGGAAGATCCTCACCTCTCCTCAACTCTAATTCACATGTTGGTGAGAAACTGTGCAGCCAAATTATGCTCTATTAATTATATTTATCATTTAAATAATAAATATAATACAAATACAAATTTCTAATAAATGTTGTGTGCATCCTAAACAAATACGTGGAGTTAAATTAGCTGAACCACCCCCTGGTAATGGATGTACGGTTAAAAATGATTCATCATGTACCCCACCTAGACACCAAAGAAAGTAATACGTTTTTATTTTAATTATATACATTTTTTTCAATTGTATCATTTTTCAAACTTTTCCAAAAAAGACTAAATACTTAAAGTAGGCAAATAAATAATAGAATACCTACATATCACACAACAGCTTTTTCTTATCAGTGTCCTCCTACTGACCAGCGTCCCACATCACCATGTCCCCCCCCCCTCACAGATCATAGCCGACCATCACCAAACACTGAAGCATGACATGAAATGTGTGTGTTGATGCAGTGTGTGCGATGTGTGTACAGTGTGCTGATGCAGTGTGTGTGATGTGTGTGTGTGAGCTGGGAGAGCAGATGAGCAGCCACAACAAGAAGGTAAACAGAAAAAGGCAGATAAGCAGCGAGGTAGACTTTACCTGACGCATCAAAACTGAAAGACATGCTAAGTGGCCGAATTACTGCAACGAGAAACAGTAATGGCATCGCACAGTCATTGCTTGTTATCAGGAAGTATATTAAGGTAAGGTAAGACTTACTGTGATATACTAAATATGCTTGGCAGACATGCAGGGGTATATCACGCTTATTGTCAAGTTTTAGATCACTGAAGTATAACAACAGGACGGGAGATAATAGGATTTCAAATATAAACCATAGCCAATGGTGAGAGATTACAGACATTCAAAAACAGAAGTGGCTTGTTAGTAATCAAGGAATTGCAGACAGTTAGCATTAATATTCAAAAATATAGTAGTAAACTTCAAATATAATGCAAACAGTGTAGTCAATAAAATAATAATAATTGTTAGTTGCAACAGAAAGATAAAAAGTTAAGCAGCATTAGCTAAAAAAGCAAAGAGCAGCGGGACAAATTATAAAAGTGTAGTAGAACACGACGCTACACATTTCTCATCTGGATTCATCCCAGCAGGTGAAAGCATCAGCTCCATACTTCAGATTAAAAATGGCTTTTCAGAGTGAAGTATGTTTTGCATGTGCATGACAGTGTGCATGTGTGTGTGTAACATGAGGAGGACAAAGACGTTTTCCTTACCCAGCCTGCCCCTGCGCATCTCACCAGGCGACACAGGTCTGAGTTTCCTCTCTGATTTGATTTCCGATAGGATCCTCTCATGCAGGGTCGGAGGAAGCTCAGTCAGCGGCTTCAGCTTGCGAGCCGACACCTAGCGCAGGTTGATGATGGGTTAAATAGAGACAGCGACAGGGAGTAAGTAGAGTGGAGAACAACAACTGACAACAAACAAACAGGGTTCTAGCCAGAAGGCCGTTTCATCACCACCTCCTCATCTCTCCTGTGACTGATTGTTCATCTTTTATATAGGGTCGAGTGCCCTGCTGAAACTGCTAGATCTGCAGCGAGATTAATATCAACAGAGATCTGATGAGAGCAGCATTTTACTGAGTTCACAGTGCAGTGAAACTGTAATTTGGAAGCTACAGCATACATCTTTTAAAGAGGCTGGACTAGTTATTAACATACTCTTTTTTTAATACAGAATAATTACAATTTTTACATGATGGTTTTATAGAAATGCTGTAACCTACGTTTGAATGTAATTCCAATAATTTAGAGTCTAGAAAATGTTTTCTTACTGTGGTCAAATATAATATTTAACAAGGACATTTCTGTTTATTTTAACATATCCTATACACTAAATGTGGCAATGTGGCTTTTTGGGTTGTACTAACTTTGGACTCGCCACCACCATTTTAGGGATTTGGGGAAACAAGTCACAAAATAAGGTATATCCTGTTGAAATACACAAACTTTGTATAGCTTTTCAAATAAACATGTCATTTTAAACTCTTGGTGTCTGAGTCTGACGAGAAAGTAAAAGCTGTAGAATTAAAGTTGTTTAATTAATAATGATGTGAAGACTGAATCAGCAGCGATTTTAAACCAGATTTTTAATATCCAAAACTGCCTCCAAAATACGTTCTTTCAACAATCAAATGATAATCTATGTAACTGTTTCTGCAAAATGATCAGCAATGCCAAATAGCTCATAGTGGCCATGTAAGGCTGGGATTCTTGGGAAACACTCAAGGAAGTAGCGGTGTTCTCCATTAGATTTTGGTAACTGTGCGTCTGAACCTTTACACAACATACATTTACAAGTTTGGTGAAATATTTTTGTATCTATCTCACCAGCATAAGGTCGGGAACCACAAATGGTGCGAGATGATTTACAGAATGAGACTGCAGTAAACAAACTTTAAGACCAATCATATTCTTTTTCTTGCCAATTTCTTGATAATTTAACCTCTGTGATCCTCTGAATTGTGTTCAAGAAGGCAAATCATTCTTTGGTTGAACTGGTCACAACTGATGCTCATATGATATGAGAAGGGGTCAGCCAGTCAAAGGTTGGAAACCTCGGTTCTGGCTGAATGTTTTCATAATCAGAATACCTTTCTTCGTCCCACAGAGGGAGATGTACATTGTTACAGCAAGTGAAGAGTGCAAAGATAGCTTAATATAATAAGTAAAATAAAAGTAGAAATTACACAATTTACAATTTACCAAGTACAAAATACACATCCAGTACCAGTACAGTTTTGAGATAGCAGCCAGGTGAAAGTATTAAAAGTGGAAGTATGTATTGCACAGCTATTTACGGTATTTATGTTTATATGTGTGTGGGGGTCTACCAGGGGCCGTGATGGTTATACAGCCTGACCGCTGCAGGAAGGAAGAACCTGCGGTATTTCTGAGGCTGCAAGGAGTGGTTGTGATATTTGAGTCCATGCTCTTGAGTTTAACTTACAGGGTTGAGGGGTGGTCTGGACCTGATGAACTCCAGGATGACTTCATGAGCGCTCTTCTTTAACCTGGGTGGGATGTCTCCATGCATCTGAAAGAACAGCACAGGATGAAATATACTGTACGAGAAAGGTACAAACACTCACAATACTTACCTACCTTGTAGAAAAATCTGGACTCATACTATCAACTTCAATTATTTGTTTTGTTAAATAACCAATTGAGATATAAACAGTTTTATTGCTTCCGTATTTTCAGCAATGCCAAATAGCTTATTGTTACCTCTGGCACTATTTTCCTTGGGGTTTTGTCAACAGTGAGTGTTAACCTGCCAAGCAACTGGAGGTGGAATATGGAAGCCTCAAAGGTGTCAAATGAAAGTGCCTGTCCCCCTTATATCCCCAAAGAAATATAAGTCAAGCACTACACTGGTGTCCTAAAGAGCATCCCCCCATCCCACAGTTGTTATGCAACAGTGTTGTAATTTTTCCAAGCAATTTCCCATAGGATTGGAACAGTGGTACAACAGAAGTGCAGCAAGCTGGAGGCGTGCTTGCATGTGGCAGCGATTTCTATTTGTGGTCGAATCTGGACACTGACCATGACTTTGCGCAGGTTGTAGCGTTTGGACTTAATGTCGTTCATTAGCATCTCATAGGGGGTGAGCTGGAACTCGATGGGCAGGGGGTTATACTGACGATCCTGCACCTTCTTCAGCTTGACTCCTTCACGCAGGGTCCTCATCACCTGAACCCAGAACCGAGCCTGACGGAGGGAACAAAGGGCAGCATGGGAAATGTGAACTATATAATACCATAACCATTTGACTATGACTTTGTTTGGACAACAGCTCTGACCCTGTGCACACAAAGTAAGGAGGGTTCATCAAGGTGTAAAATCCATTCATACAGATTTATGTATGTGTTCATGCAGTTATGGAGAATCTTTAATATGAAACCTAAGAAAAGTCCCAGCTGGATGTCAGAGGTCAGGAGTCTAGTTGCTTACCCAGTCATCTGTCTGTAGTTCATCCAGGTCTTTGCCAGGCCCCTCTGATGACCCTTCCTCCATCTTACGGAGGTTCTGTTGGAAAGAGAGGGAGAGTATGAATATGAAATAAGAACACTAACTGTTTGAATCTTTAGCCATGCTAGTGGTGTTGCCTAAGGGATGGCAGATTTCAGATGGCAGTCATTTAGACCAAAGGGAAAAATCTCAACAACTATTGGATGGATAGCCATGACATTGTTGCAATCGCTAGTTTCAAGTATTCTTCAAAACAGAATGATATTTGTTTTGTAAAATATGTTTCCCTTCACAGAAAATAGACAAAAAAGAAGGTTATGCTTTAGGCGAGGTCACTTCCACCGTATTGTTCATTTTTCAGTTGTAGTGAAGGAACTGTTAATTTCTTCCAGTGAAAATATTTTTTTTTTAGCATGTTTTTTGCTAGTCAAATTAGCATTGCAAACTTTGCTAAGCAAGCTAACGTTTGCTATGCTAACAGTACCCCGCCCCAATAAGCCTGGTTCTTCCCAAGCTCCACCCTCTTGTCCAAATATGGTCACTTGTCCCCCTAAAAAACAATATGTTAATAGACAGAATACCAAACTGGTTGTCCATACATTAAATGGTGACGTTTTCTTTGTTATATAAGCTGATAGCATGGCTATAGACTGAATTTCATTTAGCTGCTTACATTTCAGAGTCTTGGTAGTGTGCATGCTGGCACTGTAAATATACAGTCTATGGTTAGTAATGACACAACCACTCTCTCACTAACCATTTTTAGGAATTTGGGGCTTTAATATGTCTTACAATTCTTTATTTTTTTAGCTAGTTAGCTAGCTGTGTTTGTACAATAATCACAACAGCCTGACAGAGCTGCTAGCATGTTCTAGACTTAAACTGTAATATTAGCCTTAAAACAAAGAGAAACTTGATCACATATTCAGAAGAAAAATAACACGAACCTGACAGAATCCCTAACGCTTAACAGAAAGCACATCTCCTTCTTGACACCTGTGTCGCACAACGTGAGTCCATTATAGTGTTGTAAAACACTGACAACCTCTGGGTGGGAAACTTGGAGCTTTAAAGTTCAACAGAGGACACTTTCAATGTGTGAGTGTGTGTGTGTAATAGAGAAAGCACTAGAGCAAGAAAGAGAAGGAAATAAAATGTAACAAAATGTGTGTTATGAATTTAGAGATACAGGCAGACCTAAACTATATCCCTCTGGTTAATACATGAGGCGAGATACTGATAAGACAATCACAAGGAGTCTGCCCAGCCGACAGCAGCATAAGACCCCATCCCACCGGGGAAATCACAATTCACCATCATCCTGCAAGGAGAACAGCTGCCTTGACTGGACTGCAGGCTCCATGTAAGAGTTATATAATATCACTCACAACATAATGCATTTTGCGGCATCATAACTCTGTATGCTCACAGTGCATACAGTTATTCAGAGTCATAAGGTCATAATGAAGTGCTTAATACACTTATAATGGTCCATCCAATTAAAACAATACTTATTGAGCCAGTGAAGAGGATAAAGGGAGATTAGAACACTTGCTTTTAAACACCATTATCTCATTGGTATGAGTGGTGCGTGTTGAAATCAGATCAAAGCCACATATCTCCATTTCAAAGGGTTGGATTAGACAGTGTTCTCTTCACTTGACGGGGACAGCATTTTAATTCAAACATGAAAAGCAACTCTCGTGTGGACAAAATAAATAATTAGAGCAATTACCAATAGCATCTAGAACCATATTTTTCCTTGTCAATAATTCTCTCTCTCTTGGCAGCCATGACACTTGAATCTACTGTGCAGCTCTGCTTAAAGACTGGGACGTGGGGGAGAGGCTGAACATCACCCATCTTACCCCTGGGCCCTCGAACGCACACACAGTCAAACAGCTAGCATTTCAGATAAACACTGGCATTAACAGACTGTGAATGCATGCACCGATGAAGGCATAAATAAAAAGACAAACAATCACATGATGCATCCACGCACACACACTCATACACACAAACACTAACATTGGTCTAAATGACCTTGCATCACACTCACCAGTTCACCATGAGGCTCAACAACAGTTTACACTTCAATATTGATCAAGACACTGAAGTAAAGCGAGATAAGCTTATTGTTGACTGACATTTTATTATTTCTTCCTTGTGTTTATTGCATATTTTTACCTTGTCTTTAATATTAGACATTAAACAAATAATAAGCACTATGTAAACTGGGTAATTGACATGACATATACACAGGTACTGTTTCTTCAGCCATGCGAAGTGCTCTTTGAAACTGTATTTAGCGAAATACTAACTTCAGTATTCTAACATGCTTGTAATGACAACAGTTGCATTCTGATGTTTAACAGGTTTAGCATTTACCATGTTAACCGTTTTAGCTTGGCATGTTATGGTGCGAGTATTTACAAATTAAATTAGCACTAAACATTAAGTACAGCTGATGTTGAGGGGAATATGATTGGTTGTGAAGATTATTCGGTCATAAACCAAAGTATTGCATACATTGAAATGTTGAGCTTAAGATGGTGCTTTATAAAAAGTCTGAATCAGCAAAAGATTACAATAAATACTGTGGAGATATTAATTGTTTGGACCTATGGCAATATATCCAATACGCTAGAGTTAAAGTCAGGGGAGTCAAAACATGACTGCTTTACTTTCTAGGCCCAACTTCCTCTTTTAATGGCTTCTTTCTCAGACTGAGAGTTATGTAACCAACCAGATACCCTCTATTTATTCTGATGCATTACGCACACTAAAAAGGGCAGCAGGTAGTGCATGGCAGGAAGGAACCCTGAGGTGACACACACACACACACACACACACACACACACACACACACACACACACACACACACACACACACACACACACACACACACACACACACACACACACACACACACACACACACACACACACACACACACACACACACACACACACACACACACACACACACACACACACACACACACACACACACACACACACACACCACTCCTGACGGGAAATGTTCCAACTCGCAGCCAAGCTCCTGAGGAGAAACAATGCCCAAAATGCACTTTATCAACAAGTTGAGGAATTAATAAAAGGACCAGCCTCAATGTGAACTTGCGGAACATAAAATAATGTTTTCCAACATTTTCCCAAAGCAACTATTAGTAGCTCATAGATTAGTATCTTGTGATTATAACGCTTTCTAACTATGAAAACCAGCAAATCACTGCAATAAAAGAAGTCACTTGCAGGCCCCGGCTTTAATATGGACTCATGACCCATAACAGACAGCATACCAATAATACACTGAAGCAGCATTAATCCTCTGAGGTATGTGCACAACTTGGAAACACATTACAACACAGAGCCTCCTATTACTACAAAAGGAGATGCAAACATGATTATTTGAGTCATGCCCCTCTGGAAATTAGCTGTGTGAAGCTGAACAAATGCTGAATGAGAGTCAGCATGTCTCCAGATATTGTCATCTATGTCGGATATGAACATCAGACATGTCACTCCTTCTTCACAGTGACCCATTTCCTCCTGGCAGCCCACAGGGTGTGAGAGCACGGCCTGTCTTCCACACACAGACGGTACACCGGACTGTTGTGACATTACAGTGAGTGTGTATCAATGATGCTGATAGCTGGTATTCTCTGTCCTTGTCAAGTTTGCGCACTTTTATGCCAAAAACAGCAAACATTTACAGATAAGTAGTCCATTTACTTCAATGGTGACTTTTGCCGGTTTGGAAAATCCTCTCAAACAGCATGTATGTATTAGGGGACCATGAAACTCACAGTGAAGACTAGAATGTTTAAAAACAGGATGGCGAATCAAACAAGTAACCAGAAAGTGAATGAAAATACACTCCGCCAACATTCTTTTTTTCCTGTTATTGTGAAGGGGCCTCCATTAGATCAGAAATGAACAACACAAGTTAACTGATATTTAATGTTGAATAAAATGTCTATTTGCTTGATTTACTGTGACATCTGTAGCACCACGAAAACCCTTTTTCAGAATGTAATAATGTTTTAAGGGTCTTTACAAAATGTATAGAGGTAATGTGTTATGTCTGCTTGTTAAAAAACAAAGTTGTGAAAATAATATGAAGTGTTAAATGGACTGTATTGATATAGCGGTTTATCCAGTCTTTATGACCCCTCAAAGCGCTTTGCATTTCAATCAAACCCCATTCATACAGAGCAGTGTGCCACTTGCTCGAGGAAGCACACACACCCTGGGCAATGGCATCGGGAGCAACTTAAGTATCCTGCCCAAGGATACATCGACATGGATGTAGCCCCCGACTGCAGGGGCTGGGATCGAACCCACAACCTTCTGACTAAAAGACGATCGCACTTCCAGTGGTGAATTGGTCCTCGTTATATCATGTTCTCAAGTAAATACCTTAATAACTTAATGGAACTTCTAATATAAACCATCAATCTTCACTTTTATAAAATGTTTTGATTCCTAAAACACAAATAGAACTATGTTTCTATGCTGTTACACTTAGTTGTATTTTGATGGAACTATTTATGTATGTATTCAAGTGGCCTTAATGTTGCAAATTAGGCTGGATTTGAAGGACCCAAGGATTATTGTAATAAAGATATTTTATTTATGGGTTATTAAGCAATCTAAAACCCATTTGCTTTCGCCCCCTTGTTCTTACACAATATAAGCATTGAGTGATGCATAGGAATGCTGAGTATAAGCTGTGAGTCAGAGGTATTGTGTGTTATGTCATAGCTCAAGGTATATAGGCTGTGCACTGACGTGTCCATTCATCTCTTTATTCACGGTCATTACCACGGCGGATGCGTCTGTGAATCAGTTGAGCTCCTCCGCTCTGTCACACACACAGCTGTGTGACCGCTGACTGCATGTCTCTGTGTGTCCATGCCTATGTCATGCTACACTCCATCCCTTCCTCTCTGAAATGATGGATTATTATTGAAACAGGCATGCTAGATCACTCAGATATGCCTTTTATGCTCCGATGGTTTTCTTATTTGAACGTTACTACACAAAAGCAAGAAGAGAAAAACTGGCTTCATGTAACGTAAGACTGGCTGTTAAAGGATAAAAGTTCAATATTAATGTTCACTTTGGTTTGCATTACCAGAATCGCAAAGATACTACACATGAGCATATGTTTTAATCGAGTGTTTTTAGAAATATTCCTCTTTTTCATAAAGCATAGTGTAATGGAACCCTCAATAGACATTCGTATGTCTTTTCATCTCTCAACTCTTTCTGTATATAAAACAACGGTTACTGGACAATCAAACATGCTGTCATAAACTGATTTTCCTAATTGTCTGTGCCTATTCATTTTAATGTTTGTCTTTTAAGTCTTTAGTGTATTTTTGGGTTTGTATTTTTGTGCTTTTGATGGTGCATATGTGCTTTAATACGTGCTGTAAATGTACTTTTGTGTTGTTTTTTTTGTGATAATATGCTATTCCAGGGACTGCAGATGAAAATAGCCTTTATGTTCCTTCTTAAATAAATAAATACAAATACAAAATGTGACTATGACCTATAGGCACTACAGCTCCACAATACTAACACTCAACCACAGAGTCATGTTGATTGCTGGGGTGGGTTGCATGTACAGTACAGTAAGGTCACAGTGCTAAATCATCTAAAGCGGTGCCTTGCTGCTCTGTGCCTCATGTAAAGGTCAGTGATCATCCTGTGACCTTTCATTAGAGGGGAGTTCCCTGTGCAGTGGGGTCAAGCTGTGTTTTTAAATAAGACTTGTAAAAGCAAAGGCATATGCATTCATCATACCAAGATGATAAAGATAAGAACCCACCTCTTTGGCACTTCTGATCTTCTCCAGGAAAGTACCCAGCTCCCTGGTTTCTGTGTAGAGAGCCCGGCACACGGCCTGGTAGTGACCGGGGACGTCCGACAGACTGGGGAGGTGGGATGTGCACAGCTGGAAGAGAGAAAAAACTGTTTGTAGTACACAGTTTATTTATCATAAACACAACAGGGATCAAGGAGAAAGCATTAAGTGCAATTTATTTTATTTGTGTAAACCCATGAACTGATCAATATCCATGTTATTTTGATATATCAATGAACAAACTTAGTAAAGCACATTCAGGTTATGTAAAGCAATCGTTTATTCTTGGTCAACACTATCTGTGTTATTCCTAAATTATGAGGATCATTTGAATCCTGGCTTGTTAGCTAACAATGCTAATCAGAACAGTTGTTGGTCAACTGAGTCTCTCCTCTCCAGAAACACGGTTGCCTAGGAGAAGTAATAAGACAAAGGGAACTACATTTGAGCTGCCTGCAACTAACTTATTTATCCATCTGTTAAATTTGTTTTCTGTAAATCCAATAATGAAAGGGTCCATCAAATGTCACAGAAATGTTGAACGTTTTAGCTTTCTATTATTTTGCTTTTTTCAACCAGCAGCCCCAAACCAGATTGCAATCATAAGGAAACGAGCAAATATTCAAATGTAATATGCTGAAAACAGAGACGGCGAGCATTAATATCAATCAACTCATTTATAGAGTCATTGTCGCAGCTCTACCCATTGTTCTGTATCGCAGCAACCTCAATTAAGGAGCAATTCTTGTTATCAGTTTCTTCTAGATTCAGTGTTCAGACTTAAGCAAAACAAATCATTTAATGTAACTGTTTTTATTTACTTCGGACTACATCAGAATTTTTCCATGACTCCTCTGCACTGCTAGAATATGAGATTGTTTATTATTTTTCATACTTTAAGTACATTTATCTGACTACACTTTCATTCTTTTACTTTACTTGTAGTGGATTATTTTCCCACAGGGCTACTTTTACTAAACAAAAGAATCTCAATACTTCCTTTACCACTGTCAAACTGTGTTTAGCCTTGCTAATGGTTCTCAGGGACCCTGCAAAAAAACTAAATACCCCAAAAACAGACGTTTGTAAACAACTGTTTCATTTCATTTCATTTCAAACCTTTATTTATCCAGGTTGTATCCCATTGAGATCATTGATCTCTTTTTCAAGGGAGACCTGCTCAAGTAGGTTCCACATGAAACATTAAAAACATAAACAGAGCAACAAAAGGACATCATACATTAGCATTACAGGGATTACAATTTACATACTATCCACATGCACAGGTACCAACAGCTTCCGATTCAGTAGCATCCAACAGAGCTTTAAAATCATTGAGTGGCACCAGATTGCTCAGTTTCCATTTTAATTGCAGACTGTTCCAGGACAGTGGAGCTGCGCATCTAAATGCTATCTTCCCTAAGACAGTCCTAGCAGTTGGCACATTTAATAAAACCACAGCATGCGATCTCAGGCAGTAGCCACTTACAATTCGCCGTGAGATCAGGGAGCAGATGTAGGATGGAAGTTTCCCTAACATGGCTTTATATATAAAAATGTACCAGTGACTGAGCCTCCGTACAGTTAGTGAAGGCAGACCAGCCCTTGCATACAGGGTACAGTGATGGGTTAATGCTTTACAGTTTGTCACAAATCTCAGTGCACTGTGATACGCAGCATCTAACTTGACCAGGCAATTGGCAGGTGCATTCATATAAATCAGATCACCATAGTCCAGTACAGGTAAAAAGGTCACAGAGACTAGCCTTTTTCTGGCCTCGAGCGAGAAACAGGACTTGTTCCTGTAGAAGAAACCTAGCGTAACCCTCAGTTTTTTAAGCAGGTTATTGACATGACGTTTAAAAGTGAGACAATCATCAAGCCAGATACCAAGGTATTTGTAACAGGCAACCACTTCAAGTTTTATTCCTTGCGTAGTTAAAATATCTAAAACAGGCTCTGGTGTCTTTTTAGCTTTTGAAAAGAGCATTACCTTGGTTTTCTCAACATTTAAAAGAAGCTTTAGTTCAGAGAGCTGAGTCTGAATAATGTTAAAAGCAGCTTGCAATTCAACAACAGCCTCCTTAATGGAGGGACGTGCAGGAGGCTGTTGTTGAATTGCAAGCTGCTTTTAACTGTTATTGACTGCAGAACACAATTGACAAGACACTAATGGCAGCCGTGATGACAGAATACGTCCTCATGTCACTCAGAACAGAATGTACCCTTGGCCAATGCTCGGCATGCTCTTTGCATCCAGACAGCCGTCTCTGCAGAAAGTGTATCCTATATCCTCAGCCTATCACAAGTGGGTGAAAAACAGAAACAATGCTATATCCAATGTGTTTTTTACAGTATATCAGGTCAGGACAAAAGGTACACTGAGGGAGCACACAGAGGGAACGGTCAGAGGGTGAAAACACAGAGACAACAATTGGAACTGACAGCTAGCTAGCCATCAGGCCAGCCAGACTGTCACACTGTGTGTGTGTGTGTGTGTGTGTGTGTGTGTGTGTGTGTGTGTGTGTGTGTGTGTGTGTGTGTGTGTGTGTGTGTGTGTGTGTGTGTGTGTGTGTGTGTGTGTGTGTGTGTGTGTGTGTGTGTGTGTGTGTGTGTGTGTGTGTGTGTGTGTGTGTGTGTGTGGTCATTATGTAAACAGTGTGAGGCGATCTGAGATGTGTCGTTGGACAACAGTGATACATGACTCCCAGCATGGAGGAGGCTGGCAGCCAGACTGCACTGTGATTCTAATCGCAGTGCTCAGAGCCATGTTTAACATTTTCATTTTCACACTCAAATGTTTTCCTGAAAATCAGTTACCCTCGCTGATAGGATCTGTACCAGGAATCCATCAGTGAATATTTTTAGTCTATTAATGTTTTTCCTTTTTAAGTTACTTTATACTTTATCTCCACCGATTCTAATTTCTATAATAGTTCTTACTTCAGATTTAACTGTTATTTTCAAACTAACATTTTTGTCTGAAACATAAAAGATACAAATATAATAGGCATTATCATATAATAACTACCCATCAGTATATAGAGGTTCACTTTAAATTATATACAAATATACCACCCTAAAGTATCCATTGTGCTTAATCTGTATCTGAAATGTAATTAATTAACAATTACATTTAGCTGAAAATACTTCTGTACTTCCTCTACAGCATTATTTACTTCCAACTGTTGGATTCGTCCTTTAATTTACAACAAGGAAATGCTTGGTAAATGGGGGAAATATTCCAACAAGCTAAAATAATGCACATTTCAGATTAGCTATGGTATGGATTTATAAAGTGGATTAAAAAAAGCAAAAAATAGTAATTTGTCTGGCAACCCAACACTGTATTCACTCGCCTTTTTGCTGTAGTTAGGTCTCCAACAACTAAAAAAAAAAGAGTATCTGGCCCTTTAGCTGCTACTTTGTTTACTATGTTCACGTACAAGTCTCTGTCACGATCTGTCTGTGATTCCTGTTTTATTTTGAAAATAATTCACCCCCTGTGTGATGTGTGTGTTACTGTTGTGTTAGCCTCACCCTGCTCTGTTCTGGTGGATTAATGACTATTACAAGTATTTTCTGCCAAGATATCCTGTGTCCTGCCCTTGGATCCAAACTGCTCTGCTCACCAGTGACAGTCTCTAGAATTGTTATATAGCTCTTAGCCGTTTGGTGCTGGGCAGGTAGCAGAGCTCTTTCAGTTGAGGCAGCTGCATGCTGCCAACAGATGAGAGTGGGTAGACTGATACAAAACTGAATTGTTGCAGGCTTTAAAAAACACAACAAGGAGCTTAAACATGCTAAAATAGTATGGAAAGCTGGGCTTGGTGATACCTTATTTTGAATCTCCCTGATATCATGATTACACCTGCCCCTGCATGGATTGAAGTGCTAGTATTGTCCAGTCATCAATGCTTGCACAATGTACCGGTAACCTGATTTGTTCATGGCCTATGTACTGACCAATGGACTATCCTGACCCTAACCACTCAAGGTTAATGCTTAACTTCAATTAGGTTTGCAGGGCATGTTGTACAAATTAAAGCATTGGGATTCATTTTTACGCTTAGGTGACACATTTAGCCACAGATTGAACATAAAGCATAGTTTTTTCATAATGTGTTACTTTAAACGTGCAGCTTTAAATGTGAAAACTATTCCAATGCAATATCTGCCTTAAACAGAAAAGGTACGTGTTTTACATCTCCAGCAATAGCAACAAGGGTTTGCTTGCAGTCAGTCAAAAACATCCTGGTAGTTAGCTTTAGTATACTGTAAATAGCCAACAATAGCTGAACAACAGAATAGATACCAGCAGTCACTCACTCAGCTACTGTGTACATACCTTGAGGATATCTCTGTAGCCGTGGACGCTGCAGATGTTGTCAGGATCATCCTCGGGCTCATCCTCTTCCTCTGTTGCCTCGTAGCCCTCGTCGGGGCAGGCGTCCCTCTCGGCCTCGGCCATGTTGGTCATGAGGTCGATGAGCTGCTCCAGAGGAGGGCTGAGCTCCCTCTCCTCGTTCTCCTTCAGCCCGTAATCCAGAGCTTTGTAGATCATGATGCCCAGAGACTCAATCACCTGAAGGAGCACGGGAGAAAAAAGCACTCAGTGTCCATACATTGTCAATTTTCAATATTTACACTCATTCAACTGTCTTGCTTTCATCTGTTAAGTATTAAATATATGAACATAATCTTACTTCCAACAATTGTTTTTGCCTACAATACAATGCAAATCACACAGTGTAACAAAGATCCAATTAAATAACTCGCGTCTGATGATAAAGATGGATGTTTGTATATTAAGCAAGCATACAATCATTTTTGAAAAATGCATAATCTTTTTTTCCTGCTAATTGTTCTGTTCTTCATCTGTCACATGAACAAACAAACATGGATTTCTGTCTTTGTTCTTCAATATGATCCTCTATTTTGTGCCAAGCCTGAGCTTCAACAGCTGTATAAAGTGACCTGATGACTCGACCTTTGAGGAGAGAGCTCCCTCCGTCATTCATAAGCACACGCAAACACACACTGGCCTGGAGAGGCTGCCGCTGGGGGCCGATTACTGATAGTAGATCTTGTGATTAACTGACGCATTGAAAAACGAGAACACCATCATCACATCACACATGTCCTCACGATAGTCAGTCTTTTAACCCTTCTGTTGTCTTCGGGTCAAATCTGACCGATTTACTACTTTCATCAATCATAACTTTTTTGTTTTACATTCGATTGCATTAAGGCTTTATGATATCCTTCACAGTAGACATTTAAAACATATAAAATGGCTGATCACCACTTTCATAGAATTTTGGATGATTTAGTCAACTTTGTAACACCCATGGTGTTCCCGGTCAAAAATGACCGCCATAAAGAAATGGAATTAGTAACCATCCGGATCAGATCAAACACACACAAACACCCACACACACACACACACTCTAGATGTGTGTCCCCCCCCCCTTATGTGCCCATCCCCCCATGTGAATCACACCTGGCACACACAAACACACACAGAACAATTTGACACATGTCCCGCTCTTATGTGCCCATCCCCCCACATGGATTACACCTGGCACACGCAATACTTGTTCAGTGTCTATTCTTTGTATATTTACTGCAGTTGTTCATGTATACCAGTAGTCTGATACAATATTTACAGTTTGAAAGGGTGTTAAATGAAATTTGGTGATGATTAATGGTTTTTGTGTTAATGTAATAGCAGTTAAAACAGGACCGGTCAAATTTGACCGTGAACACCAAAGTAAGGGGGGAAACGAAGACAATAGGAGGGTTAAAGGAGGAAGGAATTCATAGGTATGTAATTCTGAGAGGTCAGCTGTAGTTTGAGACTCATTCTAGACTTTCAGGACTTAAATGATACTCCAGACAGTTTTAGCATTAAATAACTACAATGTAGGCTTGGAAGGTGGCTATATTTTTAAGAAGAAAACAGCGCATCATCACATCATTCCTGACTTGTTATGCTTAACATACTTTTTGCACAGCCACAATACGTCTTTAGCTTAAAAGATTTGCATTTTTACACAGAGGTCACATTTGTCACGATGGACAACCTTAAGCTTAGCAACCATTATAAAGCATTAACAACAAGCCATGCTATGGTTTTTTATAGTCCTTTTGATATTTTATATCTGCCATGAAAACTATTGTCTTTGCTTTGGCAGCATTAACTGACGTGTTGGCAACTTTGGAAAAAAGTGCAGTAGGCTAACACAGTGATTCTCAAATGGGGGTACGCGGACCCCTGGGGGTACGTTGGGGTACTGCAGGGGGTACGTGAGATTTAAAAAAAGGTTAATTATAAAAAGGTTAATTAAAAAAATACCATGCATGATTACAAAAATAATCTTAGTACAATAAGTTAAATAGAAAACACAATTTTATATTAAATATTCCTAGAACCACCAAGGGGGTCCTCATATAAACATGTCAAATGTGTGTATTGTATTTTATAGTTTTTCACAATATATCATTTTGTTCATTGGTTTGTTAAACATATTACTTCAATTGAAAATGTCGTTATGTTATTTTTTTTCATGCATGAAGATGAAAATATCCTTAGTTTGTTGTAATTCATGCACGAAGGAGTTAATAAATCACACACTGAGAGAACATCACTATATTGTAATTATTTATATAGGCTTTTTCGATCAAAAATGTTCGGGGTCGGTCAGGGGGTACTTGGCTGAGAAAATGTTTCAAAGGGGGTACATTACTGAAAGAAGTTTGAGAAGCACTGGGCTAACACATGTTAACAAAACAGCTCAAGTTGATGACTCATCATAGCAAACTGTTTCTTATTTACATAAAGAGCAGGCTCAGAAGACTCACTATTATTCTGCAAACATGCTTCTAGAAATGTCTGTCTCTTTAGCTGCCAAATGATGCTCTGTGTGTTAGCTGCTAACTTTGCTAGCCGCTTAGCTAGCTTACTGGCTCCAAACATAGGCCTACTGCCCGCTTAATTTTGAGTAGGCCTACCTACTGCAAAATGTCTACACTGAAGTTAACTCTAGAAATAGTTTTTGGCTCCATCACATGACTGTATCGATCCTAATGTTACAGTTCCAGGCTTCGACTAAATTAAATTGCTAATCATAAATGTGAATTAATTAACATTACTTCTCTCACTCAATTTTGCTGTTAATTATTCAATTAAATTGAAAGTAAATACTTTGGTAACACTTTCTAGATAAATAATGCATTATAACCATACTTTTGGCACAGTAAAGTAAAAATTATAAGCACTTGTTAATATTCATCATGCTTTATAACAATAATGTAAAGCTTGTTATAATGACTTATGGTAAATAATTATAATAATGTAAAATTGTCCCACAGTGAATTATGATTGTAGTTGTAATACATAAAATTATGTTTATTATGCATTGTAATCTCTGTTGTTACGCATTAAAAGGTAATAATAAGTTTAAGTGAATGGTTATTGGGTGCTTTAAGTGAAGTAAGGAAATTCCACAAAGGCAGATATAATACATTACGAGCTGGTTATAAGTCACAAAAAAAGTTAAGTTTGCTTCAATCTTAAATGTTAGTTAGTGACCAGCAATTATGATATATAATGTTACTTCACTATTGATACCTTTAATTATACAGTTATATGAGCACTTTTTAAATTCATACATAATCAAGTATATCATTTAAAAGATGTATAAGAAACCAAATAAGGTACACATAAGATTATATCTATTGCAGTTGTTGGTGGGTGTAGTTTAGATGCCATGCTCAGTTATAGCACTCAATCCGCCCTGGAATTGGAGAGTCACGGTGGATAAAGGCAGCAATGTCAAAGCCAAGACAAAAGACAAGAGACGGAAATCACACAGGGGATTATTCTGCAGCCCTGCACCCAGAGAAAAGACTGAGAGGGAGCGAGACAGCAAATAAAACACAGACAGAAAAGCAACTGTGAGAAAGGGGATGCAGGACGGAGGGACAGAGACAAGGATCAGAGTCAGAGAGGTATCAGGAGACAGGAAAATAAGAAGTGAATGAGAGGGTGAGAGTCATTGAATGGTTCAGAGAGGTCAAGGAGGGCGGAGAAAGGGGAGACATCAAGAGAAACAGAGTCATATGTGTGTGTGTGTGTGTGTGTGTGTGTGTGTGTGTGTGTGTGTGTGTGTGTATTGCTCTGTCTCAGCTATAATTGGCACCTTAGCCGTGTGGAGAAGGAGGTGCTATGTGTACCCTTAAGTGATCTGTGCTGCTTAGCCCCGATATATTTGATTCCCTGTCTATGTAATATAATTTGTGGAACCAAATAAAGTATTCAAGTGTGTGTGTGTGTGTGTGTGTGTGTATGTGTGTGTGTGTGTGTGTGTGTGTGTGTGTGTGTGTGTGTGTGTGTGTGTGTGTGTGTGTGTGTGTGTGTGTGTGTGTGTGTGTGTGTGTGTGTGTGTGTAGACATGAAGATCAAGAGCAGATCAATGGACATTCATAGAGGAAGGAGGAGTCATATGAGAGTCTGTCCTCCTCTCCCCCATCAGTGCGTAAGAGATGGATTTCCTCAGGGGGGTTCGGCTGAATGTCACCTCTTTGTCTAAGCTCTGATATATGACACCATGCAATACACACACAGACACAGACACACCACACACAAAAATGGCAGCAAATGCAAACATATTCCTCCAGGGAGCTGCTGTAACCTCAGGCTGAGAGATCCTCCTCAGTGGAGCATGCTGTATGTAGACAATGAGACAGATATGAAATGTTCTGCCCTGCCAAGCAGCTAATGGTTTTATATTTTAAAGTATGTGGATTTTCAGGCTCCCGTTTCTTATCTGCAGCTTATCTACAAACCATGTCTTCAAGAATTCAGTCAAAGACTGTCACAGTATCTGATCCGCAAAAGGAGAATCACTCAAACGGATGGAATAAATAAAAGGCTGCGCAGACGGGTTTGACCATTTTTTCACCCTTCCATTTGGAAACATTAAAAAAATGGTTATTTTGTATTTAGCAGATGTCAATCTAACAACTGAAGTCAATCAAATAGAATTAAAAATATCTACCTTAATGGGATCTACTGTAAGGCATCAAATGGCTACTTTTTCAAATGTTCTGTTTCATGCTCTTTTCCCTTGGTTTTTCCCTTTCCCCTTATTCAAGACCTTTTATCACTCAGTTAAGGACAACAAAATGTGCCTTCGGTACACAAACATACGTTTAATATTAGTAAATATAACATAGAAAGTGTGGGCCCAATATTAGCAACTGTCCTACAGTTTGGTTCTTTGTTTGCCAGGACCTTAAAATTGACAGGAAACGGAATGTCGATTCTCCAATATTTTACAACCATGACCTTCTTGTATAGGTGGTCCTCCAATTACATGTAAGTGTCGTCACTTAAAGAAATATCTGCAGCCATTGAAAAACATTGAATGTAATTTTCATATGCCTTATTATTCTTTCTTTTTAGGACCTTTAATAAAATCTTTAGACTTGACTCCTAACTTAGGAGTCAAGTCTGCTCCTCTAACAGTTTAGGAGTCCTAACACATTTATTTCTAGAAAAAGAACACCCTCAATTCAATA